GCGCGGCGGTGGCTGGTGGCGGGCTGCACTGGACTGCGTGCGCAGTGTGTCCGCCTCGGTCTTTTTCGTGCTTGGTTCGCTCCCGAGATTCGAGGGCGCCGCGCGGTGGCTGGCGGTGGGTTATGAGGCGAGTGCAGTGCGCTGCCCGTCTTTGTCTTTCAGAACGCTCCAGCGGGGCGCTGGACTGCTTCAAGCCCAGGAGCCCGCCCGGGGTCGGGGAGCTCTGGCGACTAGAATCCACACGCGGCCGAAGTTGGTTTCGATTTCGTTAAGCAGGGAAGGATGGCGTCTCCCCTCAACGAAATGAAGCCGCTGAGGGCCTTGCCGGGGAGGGGTCGAAATTGTTCAAATTTGACCCATCTGGGGCGTGTCCGTCTGTCATTTTGGAGACACTTCGAGACGGCTCCAAACTTCCGCCAGAACAGAGAGAAAACCAGAACGGGCGAGGGACTCCCTCGGGACGGCGGGCCCCTCTGGAGTCGCCCTGACACATCTGCGGCAGCCCGGTCGGGGCTCATTGGTGAGCCTCCTCCAAGCTCCTCGGAAAGCCTGGGAGGCTGTGCGCGGTTTCCCTTATGCAGGGCCAGAATTTTAAACGCCGGGCAAGGGCAAAAAAATACTCGCAAATATTCTGCGAATATTCCAAAATATTCTCCCAATATTTTGAAATATTCGCAAAGTATTCGAATGCTCTTAAATATTCACAAGAAGAAGACGAAAAAGAAAAAGACCGCCGCAGCGTCTCCGACAAAAATCGCCGCAGGGTTTTCCCGGCTCTCCTTACCGGTTTGGCTTCCTCGTATTCTTCTAAAAGATTGGCCACAAACGGGAGGCCCCGCCGGTCCTCACGTCGCGGCGTTTCGATAAAACCTCGCGCCACACTTTGCAGCACTCTTTGTCGCAAATAGGAAAAAACCCAAAGCATACGACAACGAAAAAGGCGCGAAAGCTTTCGCAAAAAACCTGCCAGGTTGTTGGCCGTTTTGCGAGCCCCTTAGCCGTTTCGAATTCGCGAAGTGCCCCCCTTAGTGGTTTCGACTTTCGTGCGGGTATCGGTTTTGAGGTGCATGGCCCAAATGTAGGCCCGCCACGCAGTCACTGAGGACGGGCCCGCCTGTTATATGGGGCCACGGGAGACCCATGCTGGGCAGGCGTTGGCCCTTTGTAACTTGCTTGCGATTCTCAGGAGCTCCCGACCAGATTCCCCCGGTTCCTCTTCCTGCTAGGAACTCAGCCGAGGCCAGCGCAGGCCGCGCGTTAGACCCTGCTGCGTGTTCCTGTTTGCGTGCAATGCTGATGCCTAAGACCATGCGCCCGCCATTAGAGGGCGCGCAGTCCTCGCGATTCGCTTAAGAGTGTGACCCCCTTCAGGCTGGAGCGGTGCCCGCCATTGAGAGCCCCCCCCCTCGAGGTCTTCACTGTCCGCGATCGCGCGCCCGTTTGTTTGCCGGCGGCGAACCTGGTTCGCAAAACCCTGTGCCCGCCACTGCGTGGCGCGCCGGCCTTAGGGCCACGCTCGCCCGTTGTACCGTCTTGCGGGAAACTAATGCAGAGACGACGCCGGCCCGTTGGATCTCGCTCGCGATTCGCGTGGAGTCTCCGTTAGTTTCTGCCGCTTCCGGTCCTTGGTGAGAACTTAGTCGAGGTCCGCGCGCCATGCGTTAGATTTCGCAGCGCGTTCTTCTGTCGTGCGAAGCTGGTACGCAAAGCCTCACCTCCGCCATTAGATCGCGGGCAGTCTTGGCAACTACCTGAAAAGTGCGACTTTCTTCGGGTGGTGAAGGTAATCCTCTCAAAAAGTCGCCTCCTTCGAAGCCCTGGCTGTGCGCTATCGGGCGGCCGCATGTTTCCAGGTCGCGAAACTGATGCAGCAAACCTCCCCCCGCAATTAGATAGCGGGCGCGGCTTGGCAACTACCCGAAAAGTGCGACTTTCTTCGGGTGGGGGAGGTAGTGCTCTTAAAACGTCGCCTGCTTTCGAATCCCTGACTGCGCGCTCTCGGGCGGTCGTCTGTTTCCGGGTTGCGAAACTGATGCGCAGAGCCTCGCTGTCGCCACTGGATCGCGGGCGCGTCTTGGAAACTGCCTGAAAAGTGCGACCCTCTTCGACTGGGGAAGGTAATGCTCTTAAAAAGTCGCCGCTTTTCGAGGCCCTGGCTGCGCGCTATCGAGCGGCCGTCTGTTTCCGGGCTGCGAAACTCATGCGCAAAGCCTCGCTTTCGCCATTAGATCGCGAGCGCGTCTTGGGAACTGCCTGAAGCGTGCGACTTTCTTCGACTGGGGAAGGTGATGCTTTTAAGAAGTCGCCTCCTTTCGAGGCCCTGACTGCGCCCTATCGAGCGGCCGTCTGTTTTCGGGTTACGAAGCTGATGCGGAAAAGCTCGCCTCCGCCACTAGATCGCGAGCGCGTCTTGGCAACTACCTGAAAAGCGCGACTCCCTTCGACCGGGGAAGGTGATGCGCTTAAAAAGTCGCCTTTTTTCGAAGCTCTGGCTGCGCGCTATCGCGCGGGCGTTTGTTTCCGGGCTGCGAAACTCATGCGCAAGGCCTCGCTTCCCCCATTAGATCGCGAGCGCGTCTTGGCAACTACCTGAAAAGTGCGACCGTCCTCGGATGGGGAAGGCGATTCCCTTAGAAGCCTCCTCTTTTCGAAGCTCTGGCTGCGCGCTATCGAGCGGCCGCCTGTTATGTCTCCGGGCTGCGAAGCTGATGCGTAAGGCCTCGCCTCCGCCATTAGATCGCGAGCGCGTCTTGGCAACTGCCTGAAGTGTGCGACTTCCTTCGAGTTCGATCGGGGAAGGCAGTGCTTTTAAAGGGTCGCCCTCTTTCGAATCTCTGGCTGCGCGCTATCGGTGCGAAGCTGATGCGTCAAACCTCGCCCGCGAGCAGTCTTGGCGAGGTTGCCTGGACCTAGCAGCCGGCCCGCGATAAGTCGAAAACAGACGCGCACCGCAAGACTGCCTAGCACACCGTAGCCGGCCCGCGATAAGTCGACAACAGACGCGCATCGCAGGGCTGCCTAGTAGCCGGCCCGCGATAAGTCGATAAGCCGATAACGGACGCGCGTCGCGAGGTTGCCTAGTAGCCGGCCCGCGATAAGTCGACAGCAGACGCGCGTCGCAAAGTTGCCCAGTAGCCGGCCCGCGATAAGTCGACAAGTCGATGACAGAAGTCAACTGCTGCAGACGGCATCTCGCTCCAATTGCCTGCAAAGCTCCACCGGATCGATAGAAGCGGGAAAGCCTCAACTTCCGCGGGGAATAATGGTGAAAACCAGTAGCCATTTCTCTCCATTAGTTTCCCGTAGGACGGTCTAGAGGGTGGCCAAAACCAAACACGCGCAGGCCTCGCAATTCGCTAAGGCGTGCGACCCTTTTCGAGTTAGGAAGGCGACCCCCTTGAGAAAGCCTTGGGCGTCGGATCTCCTGCCCGCGATAGGTCGATAACGAACGCAGCGCAGAGCTGCCGAGCAGCCGGCCCGCGATAAGTCGATGGCCGACGCGCTGCGCAGAGCTGCCTAGCGCCCGGTCCGCGACAAGTCGACAACAGACGCGCAGCGCAGAGCTACCGAGCAGGGTCAACAGCCAGCGCCAAAGCCGCGGCCTTCGCGCTACTTAAGCTGAATAGATGCGAGAAAGTCGCAACTTCGTGGGAAACTAATTGCCAAGCGTGGCCGCCGGGCCCTCCGCGATGAGTCGATAACCCGGGGGCCGCTTTCGCCTAGCCTCGGCGAAAAGGTAACCGCCTTCTGGCGGCCTCGGGTCTTAAACACGATGGCAACCGGGAAGAAACCGGCCGGGGGGCAAAGGACCCCACGCCCGCACCCACGGGCCTGGCCCCGGGTTGGGTGCTCCAAACCTCGCAGCCGGTCCGCGAACGCCGGGCGGGCCCGCGCGCTGCCTTTCTTGCCGTCTGGTCCCCGCGCTCCCTGCCTCTGCCCGGCTGGGGGTGGTGCGATGGTTGCCTCCTATGGACTCGCCTCAGCCTGGCTCTGCGCTGCCGCATTCGACTCTGCCCGGCTCGACCTCACTTGTGCGCGCCATACGTAACAAGACACGCCATGTTCAAGGGGGTCGCCGCTGCTCCCCACTGCAGCCCACCGCGCGCCGGCTGGGATGTCCATCATTGAAAGACCGGGCGCTGCGATTTCGGGCGGCGTCTCTAGCGTTGGCCGCCTCGTCCTTCTTGGGCTGGCAAACGTTCGGGAAGGTTTTCCGGCGTCGGGGATCGTCCGCCGCATGTACAGCGGACCGCGCAGTCCCCTGCGGAGCCATGGGCATTAGATTCCTGCTTGGCCCGTAGAGACCCCCACCTTGTTTCCAACGTAGAGTTTGCTGGCTAAAGTAGGCAAATGCAAGCGTGTAGAAGTGCCTATCTCACCCGCCGACCAAATCGTGACCCTCCTGGAAGTCGTGCGAGCTTCGAAGCCTCCGGATTTTTCGCTCCGTCGTTCCACATTTTACCAGAATAAAGAAAGTCGTGCTATTCGTCCACAGTTCGTCTCAGGAGTTGCCGTCGGGGATCTCCATCTCGGCTGTCGTGTCAGATGATATATATTAGTCGGGATGAGGTCGAGGAGTCCAAGAACTATTGAAAGATAACTGAGTCTGGATTTAGCTCGTGACAACTCCATACGAGAGGCCGACAGCTGCCAAGATCCTATTGTAAATCTGCATGCAAAAAATAGACGCCAGCAGTCAGCAGGCTGTTGGGGGTGTTCTCGGAGAGCGATAGTCAGTATAAATGTTCATCATGAGCGGGGCACCGCTCATTTGCTCTTGGAAGTACTTCGTTATTAGCATCCGCGACACTAACATTTGAAAAAAGAGCCATGTCCCCCGGTGACCCGAATTTGGACGCCTGCGTGATCCACGTGACGCCAGTGCGCAGTTCCTCAAGCGCCACGACTTCTGGTGCCCTTTCCATGGACGGGGCTACAAGTACTACTGCAGCAACCACGAGCACGAGAAAAGACAACGGCGGGAAGGATACTCGGCGACGCTTGTTTTTATTACTCCTTCTTCTGTCTTTCGTCTTGCTCTTTCTGCTTGGTTCGGGCTTCGTATGGCGTTACCCTCCGAGGCTGTGGTGCTTGCGGTGGTATTTAAGTGGCTACACTTGGCGCTGGCCACCCTCCGCGGTGTTCACAGACGATTTATGTGCCCACAGAGAAGATAAAATATAATATCAATGTCTACTTCCGGTTGTAGTACAAAAAAATTTTCCTTTTGGACCCAAAACGAACATCATTCTCTAATCGTCGAGTATCCTTTTGAGCCGCCGTGGACGAGTGTGTGCGACATGCTTCGAGTGTTGTTCTGGCGCGCGCCTCGAAGCGTTCTCCACTTTATCTTCTCGTCGCGGGTTGTGAAGGACGGCCTTGAAGGACTGTTGCTGTTCCCTCTACTGGGTGGATCGTTTGTAACACTGGTCGACCGCGTGCCGCAGAATGTGCCGACAACTTTGGAGAGCGTTCATACGCGAGAAGCCGATAGAAGAATTACGGAAGAGAAGAACATTTATGACGAGAATGGTCGCTTCGTGTACCGTTCGCAGATTGGGAGGCAGTGCGCAGAATTTTTTCATCGCGCCGCTGAAATGCAACCGTTGCCTGGAAGTGGTAAACAACTGGATGACGGCTCTTGCGACGGCCGCTCTCCGGTCGTTTTGGTTTCTGCCTATTTCGAAATGGGCAGGCTGACACGTAACGCGTGCAAGTATTTGTCGTTCATGCGGCAGCTGCTGGGTGTGGAGCGTCACGTCGTGGTGTTCACGCAACCGAAGTTTGTGGAGGTAATCCGCGAAATCCGCACCGAGGCCCTTACATCTAGTCGAAGTAGAAGAGGTAGTAACAGTGCTACAACAGCTTCTGCATCAACAAGAACTGATGAATATAATGCAACTACTAGCACAACAAGCACGAGGACTGCTGCTGCCGCAAACGCTGCGGCAGCCCGCAGTACGACATCTTCCCCTGCGGCACTTCAAATTGTGGAGATTACCTCCTGGAGCGATTTTCCCTTGGCAGCGGAGTTTCGAGCGCAGATGTACGAAAACGTCGTCCGCCCAGAACACGTTTTGGGCTTAGTTGCGCGTAAAGTTCTAGGCCTTTCACGATACGGAAGCTGGCTAGAAGCTTTGGTTCCGGAGTATGGGCTGCTGCAACACGCGAAAATCGAGTTTGTACATCGCGCAATGGAGGTGGTGCCGGTCGAGCAGTTAAGGTCTTCGAATTTCTATTTAATAACTTGGAATTGGAGAAGCATTTCAATTCTTTTCCAAGTGTTTTTTCAGGACGGCGTTGGTCGTTAACAGGATTCTCTAATGCAAGCCTCCCATTTTTTCTGGGTGGATGCGGGTGCTCTGCATGGAAAGAGTTCGCTGCCGCGCCACTGGTGTCCGCGGCGGGCAATGATGGGGGAGCCAACTTCGGGACATCAGAGTAAAACTCTCAGGACTTCTGCGAAGAACATGAGGAATACAACATCATCAACCACAAATAAAGGTGTTGCACAACTAGTACAGAGACAGGCAAGCGCAAAGACGAGCAAGATGAAGAAGAAGAAGTCTAGTACTACCAGCAGTTACAGCACTAGTTCTTTGCTTTTTGATAAAAGTAATGGAACCTCCTCTACTCTTGCGCTTCTTCATAGTAGAAAAACAAACGGCACAGCGACTGTGCTCACTCCTCTTACAACAGCATCCTCTATGCCCATTTCAGTTCCACAACAAAATGCCCACACGACACCTAAAACTCCGGCTAGCTACGACTCTTCTTTTTCGGCTTCGTCTCATCTAGTTCAGTACCTGGCCTATCGTCCTCGGAGGCTTGAGGCACAACAAGAACATGCAGGAGAGGTACAATTACTACATGGAACTTCCAGTTCCACGACTGTTACCACGATCGCCAGTCCGCGGCCACGCCAACTAGTAACACTTCTTGCTGATCAAGACAACTTCCTGAAGCAACTTCTGACTGCATTGGATACAAGTGGTGAACTCTCTTCCAAGCTACACAAGGAGACACCACTGGCGCACCCTCTGTTCATTAAACATTTGAAAAAGCGTTTGCAACACGGTGACTTTACTGTGAATCCAGACAACTTTTTCCATACTGGCAACGAGATGGAAGCGATGGTAGTAGCACCAGGACAATACTCTTTGTCGAACAGAAATAAAACAAAAACTACAACAATTGCAACGTGGTCACCCTCTGCGTCTTCTTCTCTGATTCAGAATATTAGTCGTTCTGCGCGTGAACGCGCAGAGGCTCGGTATTGGGAGTTTGTGCAGCATATTGAGAGGCCCATTGGCACGTTTTGGGGAGGACCTCGCGAGGCATTGCATATTTTTCGCAATAGGTACCTCGATTTGCTGAGGGAACTGACTTTTGAAATTGAGAAGGGGGGTGATGTTGATTTGAATTCATTGTCACTATGTATTTGTTTGCTTCTGCATAGTCATAGAGGCGTCTTTCAGTTTTGTTCCCCACTAGGAGAATTCTGAAAGATCCAGGTTTCCCCTTAGAAAATGCATGTAGTAAAACTTCTTTATGAGAATGAATATGCTTAAATGCACAAATCGACAATTATACTTGCACAAGCTCTAACAAAAAGGGTCGCACCGACGACGACCAGAGCTTGTTGTGGCTATTGTGGTTGCGCCATCCCGACTCGTTCCAGATCCTGTCAGGCAGTTGGCACGGCGTGGGTAGCCTACTGGATTAAGCTGCTACCGCTATTGTTGTTCGACCAAAAAATTGGAAGTTGGATATCTACTAGTTGGAAATGGAGTTTCATGTACTTCTTTTTGATTAATAGTATGTGGTTGATGTTGATGAAAGATCTTCCTGTAGTTGTTCTTGAACTGTGGTATTGTGTCATGCCTGATTTTGGGATTTTTGTTCATAGCATGCTGTGTCTGTACCTAAGTTGGATTTGGTCAAGGTTTCTGCATATCAAAATGAACGATATTATTATAAACGCCATAGCAAGGAGCATAAAAACACTAAGTAACACAATCTACACTACGACCTTGCGGGCTATTCGCTCTTGTGCTTCTCTGGGGGAAACAGGCATAGAGAAAAACGAGTCCCGGAAAGATTAGTCTCAGAATTAGCAGTCTCCTAGTAGCTACGTTTCTACTAAACTAGCGCTAGAGATAAAGTTGTTGGTATGCTCACTGTTACCTAGCGAGGCTGTAAAAGTTTCAGGTGAAATAAGGCTTAGGGTTATAATAGGGATAAGCATACTGAGTTCCCTTTTCATCTGTCGTTTTATTTCACCTTTTTGTCATACTCTCTCATTTACAAGTCATACTCAACAATTTTTATTATAGCGAATGTACTTACGAGTTACCCTCAACGGCTTTGAATAATCGAATGTACCTACGAGCAACACTCACTCAACAGTTTTGAATTTGCCTACTGAATATTAATGTAGTAGTACTGCAACTACAATTTTGATGAGGCCTCTTGTTCTTCGTGTGGCGTTAATGCGCCTTCCAAGTTACAGTAGTAGTTATAGGGACAACTGTGGGAGGGGGGCGCAGGGAATTCGAGGAGAAGGATAGATTTGTATCTCCCTCCAATGGGCTCGCCCCTCTTCAGTCCTCGGACTTTCTTAGTTTCAAGATTCAAAGGATTTGACTGAAATCATGCTTATACATAGATGCTGTACCGTCTTGTGTGTGTTTCAACTCGAATTCTTAGCCTGCAATAGTACAACAATACGTCATATTTATTTTCGGACGAGGAAGTTCTGTCCACCAGAGGTCGTGCGACGCTGTGCAGACCTTCTTTTTGTTCTCCTGCATCGAACCTCAAAGGGAACTCCCCTTGGTTCTTGTGCTTGTGATATATCAGTAGTTCTTGGGATCCAACTATGAGATTGATCCACTCGGGACGTGATCCGTGATTATCCATTTTTTCGTAGCTACTCGACAGTGCCAATAATGATTCTTCTCAATCCCGTGTCTTGGCGCGTAGAGTCGGCGGGTCCGTAGGCAATTAGTGCATGGTAATAGAAGGAGGCTAATGGACTCCACCCGTCATCGGCAGGTGTGCCTTATATCACCGGGATCACCCGTTCGGAGATCTTGGCTTACAAAGAATATGTGGCTGCGGTGGGGACCCCCTGAGTCTGAGTCTGACCCTAATCTTTGTCCTCTTTTTTCAATTGATATGGAAGTTGAGCTACCTTGTAATTTTTTTGATACTCACCGCACGACGGAAGTCTCAGTACTAGGTGCTCTTAAGTCATTACACGGTACCTTGGTCTCTGAACACGACGAAAATAATGACCGTGATGCAGCAAGAAGGGACGATAGCATCCACCACATGCCTAGGCCTCTACCACGATCATGGCAGGGTCGTGTACAATTTCGAAGTGTGCAAACGAGAACGCCTTACTGCTTCGACGTGTTGCACAAGGCCTCATCAAACTGGGTTTCGAGCGCTCGCGTGTACTTCGTGACACGTTCGTTACAGCGAGACGTGGCAGTGTAGTTGCAGTGGTCACCGTTGCGCAGTATGGCGCCACGAATGATGCGGCGTCGAAGGCGGCAAGCCAACGCCGTGTTCGGAAGCAGCATGAGGACTTTATACGAGAGCACAAGCGATCACAAGCAGAAACGAGCTGCGCGAGGACACAAGGAGAGATTGGGCAGCTTGCCGAAGGAACAACCGGAATAAAAGTCCTGGGCGCAATTTATGGGATCCGTGTTTCTGTTTTTTCGTTCACCCTAGTTCATCTCTCTTCAGTTGTTCTTAGATAGATGTTTCATTCCGAAAACCGCTTCAAAGAACAAGGACGAATTAGAAACACGACTGCGACATTCATACTATCCTACCGCAAGAGCGTGTCCGGTTTTCTGATCTTGCTGCGCTTGGATCTATACTTGGCGCATATTTGCGCAAAGACAGGCATCGGAAGGCTGTGACATTAGATAGAGGAAAGGGATGTTGCGACTCCGTGGAAGTGATTTCACCAGATACGAAGGTGAAGATGGCTCAATCGGGATCATTGAATTCAGCGACGAGCGAAATGACTGGCACCTCGCTCCTCAAAGAGGTTGCAGCAACGCCAGCGTTGCTTTTTTCGAATCCAGAAATGAACGCTTCCATCCAACATCGACTAGAGCTGTTCCACGAGGACCGCAGTGAGCACCACGGAGAACTTCCGTTCGCTCAAAGATTTTCTCTACATGACTGCGTCACGCTGCTCGTCACCTTGGCTCGACCGCACGTGACTGGCGTGGACCTTGACTACTGCGTGGGGGAGGACCTAGAGGGATTGTCATCCCGTGGTCGTTTAGCAAGTTATCTGGCACAAGAGTTGATTCTGGGTTTTCCTAAGCTGCGAAACCAAGAAATTGCAAATGCAGTATGGGCTGTCGCGAAAATGTTTGGAGGGGAAAAACAGGATAATGTTGCAGCTTCGGATGTTCTGGAGGAAAACGTCGCTGAAAAGAGGAGATCATTCGCTTCAGAAGAAGAAAGTTCAAGCTGCCATGATTATGTTTTCCCGTCCAACGACAAGCAGGTGGCCAACAATAGAACTGCGACTTTTTTCCCTGTGAAGCTGTTTCTACGGCAAGCTGCACTCGCACTTACAGATGGCGCGAGATGGCAAGAAGCTCCACACATTTTATGTAAAAAACGAGAAGTAGACCACTGGCAACCCAGACATTTGTCCAACATTTTATGGAGCTACGCGGTACTTGGTCATGTGGATGCGCGGTTGTTTGATAAGGTTACTCAGGCATTGTTGTTGGGTGATTTCAAAGAGCTACCAAACTACCAAGACCTCTCCAACGCAGTGTGGGCGCTAGCAAAGGTCTCTTATTGGAGTTTCGAATTAGCTCTGCGAGCTCAGGAATTTTTCGTATTAAGTAACAGTGGATGTGGAACTACCTCCACTCCTAACAGTGGAACTCGTTTCGTAAGTACAACCAGTGGAACTCGAACTACCACAACTACCAGTCCTCGCCCGAGCGAAGTCGCAGCTCTCTGTTGGGCTCTAGCTGCTACCGCAAAAGCAGACGATACGTGTCGTTTAGTCGCGAATCGAGATGGACCTCAGATTCCTTATATCTCGCTTGAATTCTTTAAGTGGGTTGCGAGCAAGTATATGTATATTGTCGACAGCGACAACTGTCCTCCGTCAAGGACTACTGCTCACCGAAAACAAAGCTCTCCGAACATGCGGCAACGATGTATGGTCGTCGTTCTACACTCTTTCGCGACACTGGGGTTGACGCATAGCTATCTTGTTTACAAGGCCATGGGGCAGCTTGAACCTGGTGCTTTTTCTCCACAGGACGTTAGCAATGTGGCATGGAGTTTGGCGTACTTGGTGGGTGCTGGTGAAACAAGCAAAGTGCTGAAAGGAGATTTGCCCTCTGCATTTCTGAACGACTTGTGGCGACGAGGAAAGCAGGTGGAACGGAAAATGAGCAACACCCAGTTCTGCACTTTTATATGGGCTATAAGTGTCTTGCGGACGAATCTTGCGGCAATGGAAGGTAGGGCTGCAATACCTACTCACAAGGACCTTGATTTCAAAACTACAAACGAAGTAGAACAGCCACCAGTAGGGGAGGACCCTTTTCAGGTCGACTTAAGCGGAGATATTTCTGGAGAAGACGAGAAGGAGGGACATGATGTTCCTCCTTTTATGATATTAGGTTCAGGTGATCTTTCTTCTACCGCAGATGAGTTTCAGAAGATACGAAAAGCGCTGCGTCGACGAAACAATTTTACTTCAGAAGATTTGGTCCAGCTATTTTGTGCTTTTACCGTTTTTCCGCACCTCCTAGCAGAAGAGGACTTACTGATGAAGCAGGCTGAGCGCGCATGGCGCAGACTTTATGAGGACAGCAAAAAGACAGCCTTGACTGACCTTCAGGAGAGAGTGGAAGGGCAATTGCGGGAATCTTCTTCGTTTCTACAGGATTTGCTTTGTCGTCAAGCTGCTCAAGAACAAGCACCTGAACGAGAGCTTGTATGCGACAGCAGGAGCAAAAGCGGGACAGAAGAGGCTTTTCGATCTACTTCACCGTCTACCTCAAAAGAGCAAGAACTACATCCGGCAGATGCAGTATCTTCATCTGCTCTTCATCGCGAGGTCGAAATCCTTAACGATTTCACTGTGCCTGGTACTCATCTCGATGCGGACTTTGCTGTTACGTTCCTGGAAAAGGATTCCGTCACCAAACAAGTTCTGGTCGAAGTCGACGGGCCCAGCCACTACTTGTACGACGTTGGCCAGAAAAAATGGCTAGAAAATGGCCCAACGGCGTGTAAACGACGGCTGTTGGAAACAAGAGGCTATAGGGTAGTCAATTTGAACTGGAGGGAAATAGAAAAGCACTGTGGTGGTGGTGGTGGTGGAAGTGATGCAGTCGGCTTGGCTTCATCAAAAACAGAGCATTATGGCTGTCCAATATCGGGTAAAGCGAATTTTGGCTTTTTGAACACATAAACGTCCGGGTTTTACCGCACTACGCAACATCATATCAACTACGCTATATTCACTTTGTCAGAAAAAGTCCATTACGACTACCCTGATACCACAACACATGAAGATTGCAAAATCTGTCCTGAGAGTTGCTTGTTGCGTCAGTAATCTGTTTGTCGTGAGAGCTAGATAAAGGCCTCCTGGTAAAAGTAAAACAGCTGATGTATATGCGATTCGGCTTTTCCAAGAGAGTTGTGTGAGATCTTGATTATTTTCATCGATCTCAAGTAGTTTATGTGCACTTGCACCATTCCCTTTTCCCCTGAAGAGATTTTTACTTCCCGAGACTGTAAATCCCCTTGGTGTTTTATGATTTTTGCCCAAGGGATGCCACTCCAAGGCGAATGATTTAGATTCTTTTATTCACTTGAAAATATTCTGTTGATTCAGATGAATAGACGTTTACCCTGAAGAAGAGGCAGCACGCATTCACGGCCACTTCTGCCGTCGCTGAATCTGTTTCGTCTTGCCGCAGCACAGAACAAGATGCACAGTAAGAACGACACGACAGATGGGAAACCTACCTCTAAATTCAGCTGAAGAGTTCGTCTTGTTTTCGGATGTCCTGACAGACCCGTTTTTCCCGTTGTTGGCGGTTGGCATCATCTTTTTTTATTAATAATATGTAAGTAAATTTTTTAGTTCTTCTGCTACTTCTTGTAAGATTACGCTGGCAGAATTATGATGACCAAGATCCAATATGTTGCGCTCTGCTCCTTGGAGTTGGCATTTTTTTTTTCGATTGGCCATGGCAGAGTTAGGACTTGTTTTCCGCTGAGCTGTGCTGAACAACATAGACCTTGAAAATCCGAACATTAGCTGCCTTGATGAACCTGTGGAAAACATCATCGAAAAGTAAGAATGCTTCGCAAGAATATGCCCGCGTGGAAAGACCCGTTGGGCATCTTCTAGCCATGCTATTTTTGAGGAAGCAAGATCCATTATGAATACTAGACAGTTGCACGCAACGATGCTTCCCAACAAGGATGTATCTACCTAGCACCTCTGCAAAGTCTTATGATTTTCTGTGTCTAGGTACAACGTGTTGCCTCTGACTTCTCCATCCCGCCCTCTGGGGTTTCATGAATTAACGAACCGCAACATGATCTGTGAAAAACATCATCGCAAAAGAAATCTGTCAGTAGAGAGAAGCTCTGTCAACTTCTGATTGTTGCTTCAAGAGAGTCACTGCCTCGGCCAGAGAGAGAGAGAGCGATTTGTCTGTGCAATCGAGCAAGTAAGCCGAATCTCAACTGATATATCTAATCAAAGTGTGTCAAAAAAGAGATGAGTCATTCTGTCAACTCTAAAGTGCGTGCACTTCTCTGTCACTTCTTCAGCTTCAAGAGAGTAACAAGTGCTTAACTATGGTTACACATCTCACAATATCAGGAATCTCATTTGCAAATAGCGTCTCCGCGTCTATTCAAAATTTTTTTCCCTACACAACATCCAACTTGTTACTCCATCCCCTTCTATATGATATAGATATCCTAACATCCTACATCACTCTCCTCAAAATAAGATACGAAATTTCTCTTTTTCAAACTTGTGCGACTTCGTTCTCTTTCTTTCAAGCCTACCTGGGTTGGTAAAATCGAAATACTTACACTATAAGGGGGTCCTAATTCTAACAAACAGAGAAAATGAAGCGTGTTCACCAACTTCTCGAAAGAGTCGACTCCTTTCTGGAGAACGCCGGTCGAAGCTCAGCTGGACTATTGGGGGATATTCATGGACATGAGTTGACTTTGGCTTTGACAGCGGAGGACATGAACGAGGCAGCATCGGCCGAAGTGGATGGCAGTGTGGAGGACAAGGTACATTGAAGACTTTTACGGAACGAGCATCTGTATTGCGCTTGAGAAAGGACTTTATGTGTTGCTACAGTAGTGAATTTTAGGTGTCGCTTAAGTAGTGAATTTTAGCTGTCGCTCAAGTAGTGACTTTATGTGTCGCTTACCTGCCTCGCCCTAAGTCCCGTATCTGCCTCGCCCTGAGCCCCTTATCTCCCTCGCCATAAGTCCCGTATCTGCCTCGCCCTAAGTCCCGTATCTGCCTCGCCATAAGTCCCGTATCTGCCTCGCCATAAGTCCCGTATCTGCCTCGCCCTAAGTCCCTTATCTGCCTCGCCATAAGTCCCGTATCTGCCTCGCCCTAAGTCCCGTATGTGCCTCGCACCACTACAGTATGTGCCTCGGTCGGGGCGAATCCCTTATCTGCCTCGATCCGAGTCCCTTGGCTGCGCTACTGTATGCTTAGATAAAGGATATTAACTAGTATGGACCTCGTTGTTACAGCTTTTACGATGGAAACTTCTTAAAACCACAACTACTCAGCTGGGGAATCTCCGCAATACCCGTGAACAAATCGACGCCAAGATGCTTGCTGTTCGCCAACATGCTCGTGACAGTGGAGTCTACTCCAAAGTGATGGGTCACAAGCTTTCCCTGCGCGCAGCAGAAGGCGAAGCTACTCGCGTTACCTTTGGAAACATCGAACTCAGAAGCGGAGGTGGAACCGTTTACGAAGGGGCTGCGATTGGAGGAGGAGAGGTGTCTTCTGCCCAAGAACGGGAAAGCAAAGCTCAATACAAGATTCGCACGACGCAAAACCGACGTGCAGATCAATGGGAAGCTGGGGAGTACTTGTGGCAGCCAGAAGAGCGGTTTGACGATTCTGTGCGTGACAGTTTGTTCAACGAAGCAGCGGCTCAACAAGGGGAGACAACTGAGGTCGCGAGAGGCACTCGTATCTCTGCATCATCTACTCGTCCTGGTGCAGCTACAGCTAAAAATGCTCGTGCATCTTCTCGTAAAAGCACCTCAACCGAGGCAACGTTTACTGCCTGGAACCAAAGTCGCTTTGCCAATGCTGGCATGTTGAAGGATTTTACGAACCGTTTTCATGCGTTTGATGAGAATGCTGATGGTCGTGCAAGAAATATCAAACTCGGAGGAAGAGGAGGATCCTCCATTCAGAATGGGGACGCTTTGCAGAATGCGGAAAGAATTTTGGCGAGGGCCAGCGAGGTTTTGCTGGGATCGTCCACTACTGGTAACATGGCAAACAGCGAAGAAACGAAGACTAAAAGTGGTCGTTTTTCTTTTGTTGAAAAAGTACAGAATGGTGGTCGTGTGGTGCTTGGTGCGAATCAAGGTTCTGATGCTGGGGACTGCCACGAATTGCTGTATGGGAAAGGTCCGAAGAAGGAAGCGACCGCAACTCCTGCGAATGTTGAAGAACAGCGTGTTTCCTCCCTCGGATTACTCCTCAACGATTTAGAGGACGCCTCCCAGAAAATCGATGAAGAAATCCAAGTTTTGCAGAACGATCGCAGGTCCTCTGAGGTTCGCAGCTTGGATTCGGAACAACGACAATCTGTGGCTCTGAAAAGGAACATGGATCTGGCTAGAAAGCTATTGGCAGAAAGAGCAGACCACATGGAACGACTACAGAGTACAACCTTGTGCAATTATCCTACTGGATCTACGTATCAAGTGGGTGACGATCATGAGGAGAATAACGGAGTACTGGAAGATGGTCCTCGTACTTCCATTTCAGGTGCTGGCAGTCGTCCATCGAGGACGTCCTCGAGACGCACTACAATGACGCGACGAGGATCCTCTAGACCTTCCAGTATGATATTACCTCCAAGTGGAGTTTCTTTGGTGTTTGACGCGGATCGTAGAGACATGGCCAGCGTGCGAAGTTCAACTGCTTCTGTCGACGACGACGACACACATGATCCGGTAGATGATCCGGTGTCCCAAGAACAAGATGCTGAGCTACGTCAACTGCACTTGGAGACGCTCGGTCGCCGTGCTCGTAGGTCTCAAGAAACGCGTGGCTCGAAGATGAGTCAAAGTGATGGGGAAGGCCAAACAAGTATGATTAAGATGGGCCGAAACGTCGATTCCATGTTGCAAGAAGTCTACCAAAGTTTGGAGTTGTCCGATTTGTTTGACGCTTACACGGACAGGCAATTGAAAGGCATGGTCGAGGAATTGAAGGACGAGGTATTTGACTGCTAAGTGTTTTGGTTTTTCGTTCATTTGGTGACAGACTGTGACTGACGCTCTCTTTGTAGTTGTTGTTTTTTTCTCATGAGCATGGATGAAAAGACATAAGTATGATCGCATTTAACCAAGAACTCTTCGATCAACCTTTCTTTTTTCAACACATCAGGTTCGCGAGCTCGACCGTCTGTCTCGTGGTGACGTCAACCGACGACAGGAGGTGTTCGAGTCCAAGCGCATGCTGGAAGCCGCTAACCGCGCTCTCAAGGATCGCTTGCAACGTCTCAAAGCCATGGAAGACTCCCTTGCCGAACATCGCAAGCGCGTTTCCGAGTTTTTCGTTGTACCGCAGGGTGGTGCGGGACCGGGTGGAAAAGGGTCCTCTTCTGAATACTACCGCACTGGAGGAGGGGGAGGAGGTGTTGATCAGCGTACCAGTGCCGAGATGAATCTAGGCATTCGTTTGAGCGAATTTGCGAATAACACTCCGGTTGTCGAAATGCTAGGCATGGTGTCGGAAGCGAGCTCGTCGGGCTGCTCTTCCGATGATGCGTTTGCGTCTCCGGTGCAGAAGCAGAAACATGCTAAGTCGTTTAAGAGCCAAGTTTCGCAGTTTCAATTGACTCGCAATGCGGATGATGGTGGGAACAACAGCACATCGGAAATGCAAAAGAGAACTTCTAGTACCAATATTGCCACTGCTCGCAATGTCGCGCCATCTCCAACAAACGGAGCAAATGCATCTCCGAAAAACCAGCGGAAAACTTCCAATCGTTTGAGTGCCAGGTCTTCTGTTTCCTCTTCCGACTACTTTGGTGACGGGGATGATGGTGAAGGTCGCAAGAGTTTCGACAGACTAGAGGATGACGATGAAGAAGATGCCTTTGCTTTTCCCGTTAACCGACGCAAGAGTTCCAAAAGCTACCGTGGGATGAGCACGAAATTCTCCGATTATCGCGATACAGATGGGAGTACGTGCCGCGATACTACTCCGGGAAGGGATACCAACGTTTTAGGAGGTGGGATGAACAATAAATCACAAGTTCTACTAGGCGCTGGCAACAAGTCGCAGGTTCTAGCAGCAGGAACGCCGTCGACTTTCATGAGTAACCTGCTTGGTTGGGTCAGACCGTCATCCAACGTGGAGTACACGATCCGAGATTCGGCATCCCAATTCGAAAACAGTGCTATGGAAAATCGCAACATTGGCCAAAAGAAGAACCAGAATGACACGTTTGCCTCGATCTCCAACCGTGATAGCAATCGGGACAGTCGAACTTCTATTTCGTCCTTCGAATTCGACGGGAACGACCTGAAGGACAAGGACAACACAGTCAGGCAGGCAGGCTCATCTATCTATGATGGTGATGATGACTCGCGTAGTACTAGAAGGTCACTCGGCACATCTTCGGTTTATTCGCGTACATCTTCGGTTGTTTCGCGCATCTCGTCGGTGTTTAGTCCCTACCGTGTGCGTTACTCCAGTGCCGGCGACTACATGGAATATAACCTACCGAAGGTGATCAGACGGCTTTGGATGCTGGTCAAGATCTACATTGTGGTTGGACTTTTGGTCCACACTTGGACAAACTATCGTCATCGCACTCTAGTCCGTCGACGCACGAAAGAGCGAAAGCGTGCTGTTGCGCGCAAGTTGGATAAACGGGTGCACGACCCTAGAAGGCATACGCATGTCAAGGTGGAGGATGTAGTAGACGGAGATGGGGCAAGTAGTTTGTTCTCTGGAACTGCTAGTGATCCAACTACCACGTCTAGAAAGCAATCAAAGGAGGTCCATTCGCGAGCTCGCATCAAAGAGATCGTCGAAATTGACATGCGTGAGCAGTATGAGCATGATCACGAAGGCGACGCAAATGCCTTTGCTTTGGTCTTGTATCCTGATGGTGCCGCTGCAGCTCTGCATGATTTAGAACATTCGTTTTACGATGCTTTCCATGCAACCGTGCCTCTGTCGAGTGCAGACGTGATTCACGCGGTGGTTCCGTACGAACATCAGGGAGCGGCGCATGCAGCTGCTTATCACTCAAAGAGCTACACACGTCGGATGCTGAGGGACTCTATCTCGCGTGTGGCGGATGCGGTGAACAGTGGGATTGTTGAATCAGTGAGAGACTTCTTTTCCGGTATTGGAGAGTCCTTGTTTGGATTTGGTCCGAAGAAGGATCAGAAAGAGAGGAAGGAGAAAGAAGCGAGCAAAACGTTGAGGATCCCAGCAGTACCGACGCCACCAGTATCTCAGACGAAGAAAGTCGTAACCTCCGTCGATGATTCATCCACCGAGAGGGCCTCTCCAACGGATTCGTCATTTGCAGGTCCTCTACTATTGAATGAAGGGAACCTTCCTATCGCGATGACCGCACCGTCTGGCATGCTACCTGACCATGTTCAAAGGCAGAAAGTTCACAACGCTATGAGGGAACAACTTTTGGACCCTGCTCCGATTGTGACGAAAGCCCGAAACGTAATAAAAGCGAAGAAGCACATCAGTGGGTACAGACCAGGTTCGATCTTCGACGATTTGCCGTTCATGACCCGTGACACTCGACCGATAGTCGACGTTCACGCGATCCGCGAGTATGGTGGTGACGCCTACTTCCGCATCTACGGACCGCCGTTGTTCGAAGCTATTTGGGCACTGTTGTTGGAAGTCACCAAAAATGACAAGACCAACAAGTCAGGTGAGATGTCGATGGATTTGGTCGCTAAAGGCACCTCTTTGGGCAACGCTTTGGTCGTTCAAGAGAAAAAGAGACCAGCATTTTCCAGTCTGGGTGAATTATCTCAGGATCATGATAAGCCTGACTTTGTGCTACGGGATTCTGCGATGACGGCGTTTGAAGGTTGGACGGATAACGCCAGGTTTGGCGAGGGTTCCTCACACTCTACTGGTGCTTCTTTCTCAGGAAGCGCTCCCTCTTCTGCTTATCAACAGTTCTCTGGAGAAGATAACATCAAATTCGGTCCTGCACCAGCTGGGACAGTCGTGTTTCAGGACACCGATGCTGGGACCGAAGTTGGCGTACCCGTGATGGAAGTTTTTGGGCCTTTTTTGCGCAGATTCCAGGATTACATGGGATTTGTGGAACACATCCAAAAAACTGGCCATGCCGAATTGCTGTTCTCCGCAGGGTTGTACAACGACCACACATTGGAGCGTCCGTTGCAGTACAAGAACGGGGAACCGGATATCTTTCCAGCTTACGCGGATCACCAAGGAGAGCCCTTGCCTGGACAGATGGAGCCTGAGAGGATGATGACGTTGTCCGCAGCACGCTTCTGGCGCAAACTACTCGAAGAACAGATTTTGAAACACGTTCAACGCAGTATGCTGGCCCTGGCCTCAGCGGATTACTACGTTGGAGGCATGGTGGACCAACACAGTGCTGTCCATCTTGAGGACCATGCTCTGACCACGCTGGACCACCCCTTGGTATCTGGGAGTGCGCGTAACTTACAGGTGCATGCGAAACTTCACACCGCGCATCACTCTTCTCTACTCGTGAAACATATGATTTTGGGGTCCGAGGAATACAATAGTCGAACACTCAGTGCTGCGCTCAGACGGTCTACTTCCACCAGTTCTGGTAGTTCCTCCTCTACTTCATCTCACTCGGCAATACCAGACTATGTGTTTGGGGATCATGAAGGCAGACTACAAGACCACCCAATTTGCGAGGCTGAATTCTTGCCACGCTTGCAGCATCAGCATGCGGGTCATCAGTGCATTTGGTACTCCGACAGTGCCTTTTTGTGGTTCCCGGCGCCACACCCTATTCTTTTAAGATAAAACTTGAAGTAGATCATGATGTGGGATTTATAGAAACAAGGTTGAAAGGAGGGCAAGAATCAGAACAAAACGGGGAAGTGATCACAATACATAGAGAAAAAGCTCGCTATCAACAGGGATCCTGAACAGAAACTGTAATTTACTATTTGGTATGAGACAATAGAATTGATACCTTCTGTACAAATCAAAACAAGCATGATTAACCAATTACGGGCAAGCGCAAGCAAATGAAAAATAAAACTGAATACTTCTTGTATCTCACTAACCTGATTTGACTCATGTGAAACGACACTTACGCAACCACAACTAGCAAAATCGGGTTATTCGAATCGGGACACTTGTGATTTACTTTGACATATTCGCAGCATTGGGACACTTACGATTTACTTTGACACTTAGCATTGGCATTCTTGGGACACTTATGATTTACTTTGACATATTCGCAGCATTGGGACACTTATGATTTACTTTGACACTTAGAAGCGGGAGGTGATCGATGATTTAATACTTTGACACATATCAATCAAAAATGGGGTTCTAGTTTAAACTCAGCATATCGATTCGATTTAGGCTTGAATGGACAGGGTATGTTGAACAGGATTCGACAGAGTACCAAATTACAAGCATTGCAAGCAAGTAGCAGGTTGATCAAATTTTTTTGAAACTCGATCGTGAGATGGATGCACATCAGGAGGATGATAAGCACTTTGATGATCCTAGAAGAAAAATGACACCGACAAAACGACGAGTTCTTCTTAGCTGAAGGCTTCTGCTTTCAAAATTCGAAAAAGGTGATCTTCATGTGTTCCTTCTTCCATTCTGCCCAAGTCCGATGCAGATCTTTCTCTGTTGTCCTTGGATGATATCTCTAAAAAACTGCATTCAAATGTCGCTCTCGAATCCTGAAAGTAGTCTCTTCGTCAAGAAACTGCTCAAGTTCTTCAAAAATCAAAGAATCGAGTAGTGCAAAGATGGAGGTCAGATTCACATCGTGCTTGTCCGCTAGAATTCCAAGCGTAGAAGAAGAAGTTCAAAGCGGTCGTGTGCTCACCTCCTAGTACTTATCCAAAAGTAAATGCTGAACATGCTGTACTAGAGGAAACGTCAAGCATGGCGATGCTCCAAGAACATTGATTGCTGTCACAAGAGATCACTTTCCAAGCAAGAGTAAAAATCTTTATCTTTCCACATCAAGGATATTTCCTGCAACATCTAGATCCATTTGGCTTTTTTTTGAAATTTTTGATTCCCCATTTGACTTCAGAGTGTGACCAGCACTGTATCATACTTACAGTATTATTTTTATCGAAGAGACGTAACTTCGGTCACAAATTGGCACATCTTCATTGCTCCAAACGAAATTTTCTTATCATCAAGCGACTAGCATACTATTCATTCTACCTCATTTCCATAGTAACGTGTATCGGAGTTGTCTTGTCGTTCTTGTAAAGACAATTTCTTATCCAACTTTTGAGAGTAGGGCAGCTACAGTCGAGGACGTTGTACTCACATCACCAATACGGAGTACACGACGATGGATACTAGAAGGATCGATACTATCGGATAGTGAGTTGAAGTTGATATAAGTACTACCAGCAGCATTAAGGAATACAGAGCAGCATTCAGACGTCCATACTCGACAAAACCACACGATCGGAAACAAGAGGAGCGGCATTCGTCAATATAATACTTGAATTTTCTCAGGAGCAGGTGCTTTTTTTGCTATTGCAGAGCGGAAGTCGAGTAGTAGCACATCACCGACAGTCGAGAGTTCAAGTGAAGGTCTCATCTCTGAACAACACACCTTACACTTACACGAAGCACTTATTTCAGACAACGCTGAAACAAGAATTCGCGGCATTCATCTGTGACAAGAAAACAACGGAACAAGAAGAAGAAGTTCGCAAAGCGCGAAGAAGCAATCTCGTTCTACCAAGCAGTGATATCAAATAACAAGCAGCGTCCGCGAAAATTCATGAATAATAGTATCATAAACATTCTCTACACATCTTTTGATACTTCCACAAGTACAACTACTGCCCCAACGATTCCCTACTGCGACAAGATGGCGGAAGAAAAGACTGCGGTGGAACGCCTCCTGAGGGCTGAGGCGGTGCCAGATGAGCAGATCCGGCTACTGCTGGACGAAGGCTACGACACCCGAAGTGTGCTCAAATCCATGACGGAGCAAAACATGGAGGAGCTAGGCTTGAAAAAAGGACACATAAGCAAACTTAGGCTGGTACTTGAATAATGGGAGAAGAAATAGTGATCTCTCGTTTCTATTGGTAGCGTGATGTCTGCTGAGGTCCATCTTCATCTTCATTTCTGTTATCAGAGTCAAAAGGTCCACCTCACTGTTAAAATGTATCACGACCTGTACATGATTCCGTCCTCACCTCCACCAATTATTAGAATTTCGTTCGCCGTGCCAACATGATATTCCAATTTCAACGTACTTCTAATGCACGACAGGTCCAGCAAAAACTCGGAAAGAAGACGACAGAGAAAGCGCCAGCGGCTTCCTTGACGACGAACCCAGTAGAGTATGTTAGGGAGTATTTGAGGGAGTATTTGACCCTAGGAGAGGCTCCTTTCTGTCGGTTCTGTAGCGATTCGTGGAGTGTGGCTGAAACAAACAGGCCAGAGAAGAAACAGAAGGTACGATCATGTAGAACTAGTTCGTCTGTCGCTCCGAACGTTTCATCCTCTACTAAAGATGGTATTGGTAAAAACTACATCATAACATCAACATCAGTCACCACAATATTGCGACCCACCATATCTTCAATTGCATCAGGGCGCCGAATACACTCCCCGCGGTGTAGAGGAAATCCAGAAGTTGGTCCAAGTCTGGCAGAGTTACGCACATCCACGCGCACGAAATTTTTTCGCGACCACTGAGTTGCTCGAGCACGTTCTGACGCAGGTGGCGCGAGGAGTGGATCGGGAGGATGACCCGATTCTAGCAGATGGAGATCACTGCGTACTTATACCACTTTGTTAGAGTGTGTTAGAATTACTAGTTTAAGATTTGAGTAATCGTGTGTTACCACTTCGAAAATGGAAGTTGAAGCGAGTAATCCTGTGTTACCACTTCGAAAATGCAAGTTGAAGGGAGTAATCCTGTGTTACCACTTCGAAAATGCAAGTTGAATCGTGTGAAGGACAACTTTTTTTCATCATCTTCAACATGATGAAATTTCAAGGAAGTGTCTCTCTCTTGTTGTTTTTTATTTTCCTCTGACTGTTTACATTTGACCTCAGATTTTCTGGTACGGCGACGTGACAAAAGACGAAGAAGCGGCCATCCGAATGGTCAAACCCGGTGAAGAAAAGGAGTCGATCACGTACTTCTAAAGTCTTTGGCTTTTAAGTCTTTTGCTTTTTGGTGTGTAGAAGCGACCGACTAATGCGTGTATCTATCTGCTGAAAATGATGAGACGACATCTAATAATCCGAACGATCTTATCAATGTCTATCATTGTCTCTCACCAACTAACAAGTTGTCCTCCCCGACGACACCAAAACACCAATACAATTATGCAGGTACGTGAACCGCGTCTTAGCGTTTATCTTCGCAACAGACGAGAGCTTTACGAAATTGATGTCTCTACCGAAAACCCCGTTTAAGATGTGCTGTCAAAACCAGCTGTGCATCAACCTCTCTCACATCAGTAGCTCTGCGGATTAAAGTGCTAAACACAATAGATGTCTACTCAAAAAAGGCAGTCTAAACGATGGAGAGTTTTCATGCTGTATACAAAAATACTTTGGAATGCGTTGTCTCTTAATTTACAAAAAGCATCGATACTAGGGTGAGCTACCCCACTCTCTCGTCAAGGCACTTTCTACTACTTGTTGTATAAATTTCATGCAAAAATCTAGTCGGAGTAACCAGACCCAAATGTTGATATTAATTCGATTGGAAACTGCCCGTCGGCGATGTTTACGGGCTCAAAGAAATTTGTAAAAATACGTTTTGGGTCTCCTTTCATCGATCTTCAAATTCAAACTTTAGATGTCTTCATTTGAAGGCTATGGCGATAGGTTCTTGAGTACTGTATTCGCGCTTTTAGCTGCCTTTCAACTTGCAGATAACAAAGTCAAGCTTCAGAGTACACATCGGAAGACTGCTGATGTTGAGTGTCAACTCTTATCATCATCGTCCCCCTGTTGTATCTTATAATTCGGACGGAGTACTATTACACACCACATATCACTCTGGTATAATTCAAAACATCCCAAGATAATGGCAAAAGGTGTCGCTGAGCTTGTGGCGACGAATTGAATTCACGGTTTCCAAGCGAAAAGCAACAAGATATACTGTTGACCACTTCCTGATATTGATGTTCGAATTTGCACGTTAGATCTCGGAAATGCGGGAGGTAAAATGATCGGAAAACATTTTCCTAAAGTATTAAATGCTGTTACCAGAAGTCTAATGCTCGTTGTTTGCTCTTTCATATCGAAAATTGGCGGTCAAAGTTAGTAGTACCACACATGAAATCTTCACATAAAGTTTTCTGTTTTTTGCCCCGTTTGAAGGGCCACCATAGTAGTACCTATGAAGTATATGCTTGTAGTTTGGGGGGTAGCGTGACTGAATGATTGAATGAAGTACACCTCCTGTGTAGAAAGAATGAAATCTACACAGGAGGTGTACTTCCATCACACAAAGAATGAAATCTACACATAGGATAGTGTGTAGAACGATCTTATCAATGTCTATCATTGTCTCTCACCAACGAGGGCTCTACCACTATCTAAAAGAGCCTTCCGGTCCCTAGACGTGATGTTGTATGTCATCCTCCGGACCCTAGACGTTCTCACCCGACGACACCAATATGAATAAACAACACCAATACAACTATGCAGGTACGTGAACCGCGTCTTAGCGTTTATCTTCGCAACAGACGAGAGCCTTCTCTATTTAATGTTCATCTAGAATGCCATAGGCGTGATGTTGTCTGCCGTGTATTAGGTATAACTCGCACTCTGTCTCCTGTGTGTTTTGGTCGTTTACGTCCCTCTACTTCTAGGTTGTCTAATAAATCTCGATATGATTTTTATGTTGTGAGTGTATGAATTTAAGTTACCACTTTTACATTCATTGATTTCTGCAGTAGCCGTGGGCATGGTACAATATAAAAAAAGTTTTCATAGGAGTACTTTGTTTTTGGCATGGATTGACGAGGCACTACAAGAAGAAAGTAAGTCAGGTGTATAATATTTCCAAGAAAGTCAGAAGTAGAGGCGGTGTTTATCTTCATTAGTCTTAATTAGAGTCTCTCCCTCTCCCTATGGGGCGATTGCTCCAGCAGGTCCATGGACGGCTGAGAGAGTATTGTAGTTAATGCTTTGTACTACTTGTGCTAGAAGTTCTTGTTGTAACTCATTGTTCTTGTTAGCTCGGCTACAACACACCAGTTCTTAGAGCTCAAATTGAGGCTTTTTCATTTTCTTGTTCTTGGTTCTTGAGGGGGGATGGAAAACTAGAAGAAAGATGTAGAAAGGTATTCATGTGGGCCATCAAATGTCAGGTCTGGCGTAAGTTTGGTCCCCACTCTTATACCACAGGAGCAGAAGTAGACTAGTTGAAAATATACAGGTCCTAGGCTTTGAGTTAAAGGAGCGCTAGATTGTCTCAATATTGCTTGGCAGCTACTCTCTGAACAAAAAAAAGGAGCAATCAACAAAACACTCAACAACGACCGCAGGAACAAGTTGTTTATTTTTTAGTTCTCTAATGAGTGCCGCATTTTCACGGTTCGCCGCACTCTGTCTCGAGGAGCTAAAAAAAGAGACATTCATTCTGGCTGACTAAACCTGCGACTACACGGGGGGGGGCCTTGCTTGTCGGATGTTGCGTTTGTTGAGGATTTGATTGCCAATATAATCAGAGGTTGATTAGAAGCTAAGAATTTAGAAATAGTAGACCATTTGGCCGAAGACTCTGGAATTGAAAAAAAAAAAAAAATCCAACATGGAGACTGACCCTCTGGTGCTTGTTCCAATCAAATCCCAAAATCAATATACGTTTGAAACAAGGGGGTGAAATGCTTGCTTTTTCTGCGCCCACCCCAGCTGGTGCGTCGAATAATCAAAAAGTTTGTAATTTGTAATTATAGAAAGTGTATTAATTTCTGCCGATCCGGTGCGTGACGCGCAGGGCTCCTGATGCGGGAGCCCCTCTAAATCAATCTAAACCTAGCAAGCTTCTGTTGTAGGAAAAAAAACAGAACAAACGGAGAATACTCGTAATACCAACATGGAAAACAGTAGTTGGTGATCGTAACAAGAACAAGGCAAAAGAAATAGAGATCCAATGTCACCGTCGACGACTATTCTCGTCACCTAAGACGAAGATCAAGATCCAATCTGAGAAAATGAAGATCATTCTTGAAAGGAAGATCCGTGATCCTCCCAACAGACCTGCTGGCAAGATGAAGATCCAGCTCAAATTTAACTAGCACTAGCTTAAATTGTAATGTTACTTCTTCAAATCGAAAACAACAGGTATTTCTTTGTGCTTTTCACATCAGGTGATAAAAGGTGAAAATATACACTACGAGTGTTATCAAATAATCCTCCTTCTACGTAAAAAGAGAAGAACTTCAATATCATATCCGTTTTATTCAATCATCTACTAAGTTGAATCACATTTGAACATCATCCATTACATTGAACTGAAGTACATAATTGTCATTCAATTTCCACCAGAACAAGACCAAAAAAATGGGAAAGTCAAAAGAAACTATCAATACCGGTAGCATCGTCCCGGAGAAGACGTCACCGATCGATACCAGTGAGTGGCCACTGTTGCTGAGAAACTATTCCAAGCTCAATGTGCGCACGGGTCACTACACTCCGTTGCCGTTCGGCTGCTCGCCGTTGGCTCGACCGATGGATGAATACCTCAGGTATAGAGATCTCTATTTGCAAGCGCAAAATACATTTTTTGTAGACGAGTCGTGTCACTCTACAACTATACAATGTAGTTATTTTTTCTGCATCAGGATGATGCGTCCTTAGAAGGCGTTATGTTGATTACTTAGTCACCGACTGGACCTCTTCTACTAGGTAGCCGCATACTGAAGATCTTCAAAGTTAAAAATCTAATGAAAACTTCAAAAATCTAATCAAACTCCCCGCAATTGAACAGATATGGAGTCCTCAACCTCGATAAGCCGGTGAACCCGAGTTCGCACGAAGTCGTCTCCTGGATTAAAAAGATCATGGGGTGCGAAAAAACCGGTCATTCTGGTACTCTCGATCCTAAGGTGTCTGGTTGTCTTCTCGTCTGCCTCAATCGCGCTACCCGACTTGTGAAGGCCCAGCAGACCGCTGGTAAGGAGTACGTCTGCATCTGCCGATTCCACTCTGGAGAAGGCTTGTCCAAGGCGAAAATCCAACGTGCTCTCGACACCCTCACTGGAGCTTTGTTCCAGCGGCCTCCCGTGATCGCCGCGGTGAAGCGTCAGTTGCGCATTCGTACCATCTACGAGAACAAGATTTACCACTATGACGAGAAGCGACACATGGTCACCTTCAACGTGTCCTGCGAGGCAGGAACGTACATCCGAACGCTGTGTGTCCACTTGGGCTTGTTGCTAGGCGTCGGAGCGCACATGCAAGAGTTGCGTCGTGTTCGATCCGGAGTGTTGGACGAAAACCACCACCTAGTCACCATGCACGACGTGCTGGATGCGATGTACACATACAACACGCTCAAACAGGAGGCCTATTTGAGGAGAATCGTACTATTGAAGATTACAACTCGACTTGTTATACTTTCGTATTGTTTGTTGAAGATTACATTACAACTTGAATTGATGTTATACTTTCTTTTTCTTATTGTTCTAGGATTAGAGGATACATAATAATAGTATCTGGGTTGGTAGAAACAAAATTTCATATTATTGTCCTCTCTCTGACCTGTTCTGGATTGAACAACCGATGGCGTGATGGATCTCCTAATCAAAAATAGGTCGCCCCTCTCGAACTGATCCTGACAAACTATCCGCGTATTGTTGTCAAAGACTCTGCTGTCAACGCTATCTGCTATGGTGCTAAACTTATGGTCCCTGGAATCTTGCGATTCGAGAACGGCATCGAACTCGGAAAGGAAGTCGTAATGATGACGACAAAGGGTGAAGCGATCGCATTGGGTACTTAAGATTTATATAAGTACTGTTTATGCAAGCATTTACATTTACTTTTATTTGTTCAAAAAAGCCATGTAGTTATAAGTTCTCTGACGGTCATCTTGTTTTAGAAGATTCAATGCATGAAGTTCAAGTGAGTTTGAAGAAGCAACTCTCCTTTCCACAAGTCTACTCTCCTTTCCACAAGTACTCCACACCATCCCAAACATAGGTATCGCCCAAATGACGACAGCAGTGATTGCGGCAGTGGATCATGGAGCGGCTGCCATTATCAAACGCGTCATCATGGAACGCGATACCTACAACCAAAGATGGGGCTTCGGTCCAAGAGCGCAGGACAAGAAGCAATTGATTGCTGAAGGTATACTTGCTCGAAAACTTCCTGCACCATTTCTTGACAGAGTCAATGCGGTTAATATTACAATGCTGAGACCAAGTATGAACATGATGAAGCCATCATTTGTATCAAAGATGAACAAGATACGCGACGTCCACGACGTACTTTCCATCACATACCTAACCAAATGAATAGGTAAACTCGACGCTAAGGGCAAGCCTAATGCCAAGACCCCAAGAGCATGGGTGTTGGCCAGTGGAAGATATTCCTATTTGCCGACCCTGATTGGTGAGGATGAGGCTGAAGCTGAGCTTCCAGCTAGAAAGGCGACAGAATCTTCAGCGACAGAAGCAGGAAAGACTGACGAAGTTGCCTCAGTAAAGAGAAAACTTCTAGAGGCTGCGAACATCAGTGCCGAAACAGCCGAACCAGCTAAGAAGAAGAAAAAGAAAGATAAGACTGCTGTTGCTGCGTAACTAGCTACTAGTTGTGGAAAACTCAAGTGAAACATCTGAGAACTAGTTCTACATCTTGCGACTGGTACTGAAGAAGAGAAGAACAACTAGCTACTAGTAAAAAGTGATCTTCTTTGACGGAGCAGGAGCAGCAGAGAACAGCTTTCAATCGCTTTTTGAGGGATGTGAAAGCGAGTAAAAAGGGTAAATGAAACGCTTCTACTAAAAGGAAATGTTTAGTTTCGTACGATTTCTATTGTTTACGCATTATCTTTCTACGTCTATTCTCCATTGGCATCTTCTATATCTGGTGATTAAATCGGGTGAAGAAAAATTTAAATGACTTTTTTTACGCGCATCTGGACAAGAAATGAACTTACAGTTACTAGAAGAGTAGCACTAACTATTTGTATTCGGTTTTTTGGTGTTGTAATGGTTTGATGAAGGATCTCTATCTACTTGCATGAACGACTGAAAACTAAAGTAGCGGATATCGAACAGCGCGGCGCTCAATGATATCAGCAGCTATACTTGGTTTCATAAAGACGAGGAGGTGACTGAATATAATGACGAAGAAATCTAGAAAGGAGACGAGTGATATTGAAATAATGATAGATGTTTCGATCTGTTGCATAAGGTGTACCACACGCGGGAGGAGGTCGTGTGTTAGAGTTAATGAAGTTGGGAAGCTGTTGTATCCATTAACTTGCTGAAGGAGGTGAACTCTGCATTAATGGATTCATGGTCGTAACTTCGTCTGGGAAGGTAGGCGAATAAGATGTAATACGCCAAATAAATGATGGTCTTTAAAAGGTGAAAATATGGCTGCCTAAGCGCAGGTTCTAAAGGTGGCGTCGTCGCTCTGAAGCGACGGAAGGAAGCTGCTGTTGTGTTCCCGCAGTTCAAGATTAGCATTTCTGAATCTGAAAGATCGACGAGGAGAGAATGAAGGAGTGAACTGAGGAAATATCATTGCAGAAAACGAGTAATCGTATTGAGTCTAAGATTCCCGAGAAATAATTTTACCGTTGGATACTAGAACATGAAAAAGAATGACTTCCTCGTCATGGATCGTTGATGCTGCTTTTTTTGGGTGCTGATTTTAGTGCCTAAGCGGGCTTGCCTCTTGATGACGCTCATTGGGCTCTGCTGAGACCACAATGGAACACAGTTGTAGCACGCCATCGTGTAGTTCGACAAGCCCGGCTGCGAATGGGTACACTACTACTACTACTACTAATAGTTTCCGATTCTAGGTGGGGAGGTGATGACGAAGGAACAATGAAAAAGATGGGAGGTATGTGCGTCTCTGCGATCGTGGTGACATCAGTAGAACAGAGGCGTGCACGAAAAAACAGGAGGACGAGGGACGAAAGGAGGATTACACATTATCGCAAGACAACGATTCATGGAAGACGTGGTATGCGTAGTCGTGTGAAAAGAAGAACAATGAACGGCGAGAAGCATGGCGGCACAGGTGAATATGTAGCAGCAGCGGATACTGCCGATCATGTAGAACAAGTACGGAGTACTAGTTCTAAAAATGGTGGGGAACAAGAAGCGGTGTTTTCACCGCCAACTGCATCAGCAATGCATGGTGGAGAACAAGAAGTGGTGTCTTCACCGCCAACAATGCCATTGTCCTCTGACGCAGCTGCACCGCCAGCTGCAAGACCATGTTCCTTGCCAAAGAAAGGAATAGCGCTCCAACCGCGACGCTGTGCGCTTTTCCTAGCACTACTCTGCCTCTTGGGTAATTGGCCGCCATTTGAGGTTTTGTGGGGAGCTCCTTTTGTCGGGGAAATATCGGAGGACTCATCGAGCAGTTCGTCTTACGCGAGTTTTTTCGAGGGAGATGGAGAAGCCAGAGAGGCGGAAGCAGAATGCAGGAGATCAAAAGAAAGAATAGAGCAACTTCCATATTCGAATTGGGCTGTCTCATCTTCTCGTAGGCACACTAGACGAGGACGTTGTCGATCTGACCATCTCCATCTGGGGAGAACATCTTCATCTTCGAGAGGAACATGTACATCTTCGAGAGGAACATCTTCATCTTCGAGAGGAAGGAACATTCCTCACCGACATCGTTCTGCTTCTCCAGCAGCATCCATTTTCGCCTCAGCCATCCGGTGTAGACAGTTCAAGCATGTGGAGTCGCTGTCGCAGGTGGGAACGGACGTAACGCGGGATGCGGAGTGTGGGGAAGAGGTCAATAGTTGCGTTCTTTTTCGCGGACTCTACAAGTTAATAGGGCATCCCGTTGCAAATTTCACGAAGTACTTCTGGGATGGTGGCTGTGGCATAAGACCACAAGATCGATGGTTTGATAGCAGGACCAACCCCCAGTCGGATGGGAAAAACCATGTAACGGAATTTACGTGTAACGGTACGAATATCCCTCTAGACGTGTACAATGGTTTCCAATTACCATGTCCTTTGCCAATCGAGCTCAACGAAACCGAAGTCGAAGAGGAGATAAATGCTTCGGTATTTTCTTTTTGTGTAGTGGCTGGTAGTCACACTTTGGTTTCCACGTACTGTTACTTCATTAGCTCATCTTGAATACCACTGAATCATCTTTCTTCGCACTTTTCTCACGCTTAGACGTCATCAACTCGTCAATACCAAGTGGTCTCAGACGACTAAGCCCACCGACGACTGTAATCAATGTGAACTACATTGAAGATTACATTCTCTCTAACGACTAAGGGCATAAGAACATTGTGATTACATTCTCTCCAAAGGAGACGACTAATAGTCCCATACTTTTTACATTTACCTCCAACACGGAACACCACAATACAACACCCACAGTTGGTGAACAGCACGAGTACGACCACGACGACAACATTTTCCTTGGATGACACGTTGACGACGACCAAGCCACCCTTTACGTACGAAGTTGGTGGTGGTCCAACTATGCTGCAGGCGGACCTAGAGGCTCAATTTCCAGAGCGCTTCTATCCATTCTCCCGTCAAGGCGCTAATCACATGACATACTGTGTACTTCTTCATATAATGGGATGTACATGCAGTCGTGGTACTTTTTGCGGTGCAGCTTGGTGTGTCTCTCTTCGAATGAGTTTTGGATAAGCACCATAAGTTTCTTCGTATAACTCTCATTCATAGGGTTGCTCACGAAGGAAGCACTATTTTTAACAGACTTCGCTTACTTTCATTTCATTCTCTCCCTCGACGTAATCCAGGTGTGGAAGGATTTCGAAAATATGGTTGGAACTTTGATAGAGAAGCAGATAGAAAACGCGACAAACGGCACGAACGATACGCTGAATTCTACGCCAGTAGCTGCGCCAGACGAAGTGTTGAGGAGATTGGATTATGATATGTGACTCTCTATGATTATATGTTGTGACTCTCTATATAATTTGCAAGCTCAAGAGGTATATTCCTCTAATGAACCCAAGACGGCTTCTTGCGGTTGACAGACGACGGCGCTGTTGGCTCTGATACTCCCCCGGATGTTCTTACGGACACGGACTAGTAGAACTTGCTAAATTGCAAATGAAAGTTTCTAAAATATATAGGAATTTCTTTCCCATCGAGTAGAATAAATAGGAATTTCTTTCCATGATCTCTAATCCTTGCAGTCCCCTAGTGCTTGCCCGTTACCTGGCTAGCGAAGACGTACAAGGCCTTTCTTGGTTGCGGCATGCGCACCTTTCGCAGTATCCGGAGACAGACATTCGCCACATGAGAATCCAAGCTGTACTAGCGGGTGCGGAGCCACACCTGGTGGGGGCTGATTTTTCCCTTGCCGCAACTTCGGGTTCGCGAGATGGAGTTGTGGAAGAGCAGGGTGGGCCTTCTTCGATAAGTAGTCGGCAGCTTTTGGAATCAAGTAGTGTTATTAAGGCTTCCCCTAATCGATCCATCTCTGTAGGCATCCCTCAAGCATATGGGCGCCAATGCAGGGGAGACGCTGACGCATATGCTTGAGTGATTTCCACAGGGATGAATAGGGGAGCGGTCTAATAGTGCTCCTGGTGAATTAGTAGAGTCCCGCAGTACTAGCCAGCCACTCGGGGGGGAACAAAGTAGCAGTAGTCAACCAGGTAGTGGCCAACTGCAAGAGTCTCTCTCCAAGCTCGGCGTCGAATCCGCAAGACTCCGAGAAACAACAGAGAAGAGGACAGAGGACCAGTTCAGTCTGCCCTCAGTGCAATTACCGATTGATACAGCACCGACAGATCCGGCATTAGTGATATCCGAACAAGCGAGTTCGCCGGAACCACCTCAGCCGACGTACGAGGACCTTCAAGACGCTTTTAATAGTGGGTTACTCGATGACTTGACTCCAGAGCAACGGTACTTGCTAGAGGCGATTGGGGTGCTCTCAATAAATCCGGCGATGTATTTAAGGGGAGGAATTCATGATTTTTTTGTGTGGTGCTCATCTTGATCAGATAGTAGTCTTGAGGTAAGAAGTGTAGTTCATAGGCGATCAGACAGTCTCGATCTTAGAAAGTGAACAGTCCAAAAGGTGGCATCCAGAATCCATTGTCTAATCTTCTACAACGAAACGACGGATAGCTACGACCCTCAAGTAGCGGACCAAGTGCTGTGCACTACGGTACAGAGTTACTTCTTTTTCTCGACGTTGGCGTTGTACTATTGCGATGTATGCTACTTGTTGTAGGCAAATCCGATGCGGGAAAGGGACGAGGGCGGCACGGCGATGGAGCAGCTTTGTACCGGTGTCCTTCGCTGCTGTCCAATGGGTGGCTCCCGCTGCCTCGCTTCCGATCAGGCGCCATTGGGGTAGCGAAGGAAAAGGCGCGGCCCCGGGTAGTTGCGAGCTAATTCGGGGCGACGTGGGCCAGGCAGTGGCCACTGGGTGGATTGAATTGTCTCGCCAAGGCGCCGGCCCTCTCGTGCTTCTTTGCGATTTTGGAGGGTAGACGCCAAGGGCATGCGCGTTGCTTGGTTGGTGAGAAATGGGGGCGATCTAATGCGTGGGCCGTTGTACATTGCAACTGCTTGCAGGCAAACAGCAGGGAAGAAAACCGGGGAGGCCTTGAGAGGGATCACGCACTCGCTAGGCGGCGCTTCCGCATCGTGTGGCATCCAGCCAAAGAGAGCGCGCGCAGGTGTTGAAGATTGTGCGCGCGGCGCGCTCTCCAAACTAATCTATCAGCACGGTCGGCGCGGGGGGGGGGCGCCGGCTCTTGTGGCTCGGTGGACGATTGTGGAAACGCTCCAGAAAAACGCGGCCCCGCGCGGGGTCCTCGAAGTGCCTCCCGGCTGGGCCGAGTCTTGGGGGCTGGAGGAGCGGCGAAACGGTATGAAGATGCAGGGGCAAGGGCGTGCGAAACATCTGGGCCGCCACCTTTATCCGCAGAACCTCCGAGAACGAGACGCCGCGGGGCTCCGCGGTGCCTGGTGGCGCTTTAGTATTGTGACGGCGTTCCCTCGTTGTCGCGGTCGGTCATTTGATTCAGCCGGCCCCGCCTCGGTCGGGGCCCGTTGGCATGCTGAGCGCTTCTAGCCAGCGCCTGCCCTGGTGCGCTAAAAGCGGCGCGGAGCGTGAGCACGAGGCACGGACACCGCGCGAGCTACCAAACTGGCACACGCTTAAAAATCTGGGCAAAGAAGCCAGGGCAGGCAGTTCGTTGCTAGGGCGAAGGCATGGGGCGCAGACAATAGACACGGCGCGCGTGTGAATTGCTCGGGTATCTTGGTGCCTTGGCTCAATGAAAGGCCCGCCAGCATTCGAGGCGGCCAGCGTGTGCCCCTTTATGAACCTACAGCAGCAAGTTGGGCGGGCGCCTTCCCGCTGTGTCGGTCTCGTGGTGTCGGTTCAACAGTTGGGACAGAACTGGCAAATTCGCCCCAGCCATGGGCGGGCGACGCTGTGCGGCTGGTGGAGGGCGGCGCGTCCGATCTGTGGATCCCAGCAGGCACTGTAGCGGATGGTATGACTCTGGGTGCTCCTATGACTCTCGCGGAGTTGTTGAAACTGGGTGAAGCTTTCAGTGACCGCATTCCAGAGTCGACGCTCGGTCTTTCTGCCATCTACGTCGGACTTGACTGCATGCTGGCAGTCCTGGGCTTCCTGGAAATTCGCGTCAATAGTGGCAGCAACACGATGCAAGATGCAAAGGACGTTGTCAACAGCCTGCGCGAGCATCTGGATGCTGGCTTGGGCAGCCGTGATGCCCTCGTTGACCTCAAGAGCTCTTTGTTTCCGATTCTTGCGATCTTCTGTGGCTGCACGTCCGTGATGCAGGACTACAAGACACTGACCGACTCGAAGCCATCCGTTGACAAGATGTCTAAGCTGTACAGGGCGCAATACCTGCAGGGCAAAGCTCTGAAGGAGGGCCTCGAGGTGCTGACTGTAGACAACAACCTTGTCAGTGATGTCATCAGTGGCGCAATGGACAGCTTTGCTGACGCTGTTCGCCAGGCAGTTGGCGTTGCTCCGAACTGGAACATCGGTGGTGTCATGCCATAAGATAGCGATGCGAGCGTCGTAGCACTAACTGTCGTTCGTCAGGACCACGGCACCCAAAGTGGCAATCCGCTAGCCCGTGCCGTGTACATACAGGCTAGTGCAAAGTTTCACAACATTGCTTTGGCCCATGCTGTGGTTGCTGTACTGAAGGATGCTAACGTTCAAGCTAGCTGTACTTCTCGCACGAGCCTAAGAAGCTAGGTAGAGATCGGGTTGGAAGATGGCAAGGAATTGTTTCACTAGGGGAATATTGATGAAGAATTCGTTCGTCGAAATATCTTCATGGTTGAAGCTGGTGGGAACAATCAAGATCTGAATCCTACTAACTCGCAGTTGCAAGATGATAGAGTCGCTAGCGTCAGAATCGTCTTGCATACTGCTAATCGTAGTTTCAGGTATATTAAAAAAAAAAAAAAAAGCTGCTTGTGGAAGTGGGAAGCCGCTGGGCCCTTCATATGCGGGGAGCTTGGGGCCAATAAGGTGGATCGTGCGTGGCTCCACCCGCGCGATCGGGGTTCGTTGCTGCCGTGTGGCTTGGCAAGAACTTCGTGAACCGGTGCCCTTTAGGATGAATAGCGTGGCGAGCTACTAACTTGGCCGCGGCCTTCTTGGTTTGGTTGCCTTGGATGGTATGCAAAGGAGCAGAAGGGTGCGCCAGATGCTTGCGCCCCATCGTGGCAGCCGAACCCCATCGCGCATAGGGAACTAACAGGGAAGCGGGCGCGAGCGCGTGGCGCCCCCTTTGTTGAATTTCAGCGCGCGTCTTCTCTGTGTTGGCTCTGTCTCTAAAGCTAATCGAGCTCATGCAGGCATGTGAGCGAATGCAACATGTGCAATAAAAGCTGCGCGTCAGCGTCAGGCCTTCCAAATTTAATTTCAGGTCTCCAACGCTACCTATTTCTACAATATTCCTCCGGACGATGGTTTCTATTGTGGGCCCGGGCTAGTCTTGACAGTGAGAGCGCGGGACTTTTCGCACCGAGAGACCTACCTCTTCAATCTCACCCGCGGTCTTGTCGAGTACCCATACACGAATTACGAGCTACCCATGGAGCGCAATGTGGTTGCGCAGTTTCAGTGCCTCACACCTCCACACTATGCCTGAATACTTGGTGAACGTGTCTGGTTTATAATTTAGTCGTAGTAAAGATGACATTGTCATCTCCTTTTTGAAATTGTCTGTCTAGGTAAGTAAAAAGGAGTATGTATGACACCGATAAAACTTTTTGAGTTATCAAGATTGTACTTCTGTGCAATATTGTCTCTTAGGTGGTCTTATAGGAACTGCAAGAGGGACACACACATGACATGGGTTAACTATCACAGCTCTAAGCTGAACCGGTAGCCCTCTGCTTTGACCGAGCACCGCAGAACGGTGGACTGCCGAATCCGGAAGCGCAGGAGCCCTATGACTGCTTAGTCGAGTACGATGCTGAGATATGCTTTTCCGAGAACTGCAACTTCGCATACAGGATAAGACGTGAGCCTAAACTTTATCTGGTTTTGTTTGCGGGCGTCGTAAGTTTGTGGGGGTTTGTGTCTTCCTTTGTTGTAGGGGGAAGAGGACATCGACGAGGCCGCTGAGGTCTTGGGATGGTTTCATGATAGATATGTTGTTATGTTTTTGTTAGTTGTCCTTGTTAGTTCGTTGAATCTCCTCGTGCATCTAGAAGTTGATGTAGAAATCAGTCGTGCGTAGTTTTCAAGTGATGTATACTACTTGTTGTTGGGCAATTTTACCTCTTCTATTCTCTGTGATCTGGCTATGTACCATCGATGGCAATGATAAAGAACAAAGTACTCTTTATTTCAATCATGCTTAGTTACCATCATCTGTGCATAGTCGTACCATCGTCTGCATTTAGGAGTCACTAGACCTCAGGATTTGGTCAATTTTGGATATGAATCAATGAAGTACTTCTACTCAGAATAGATGTGTCTGAAATTAACTCACATTAAATCAAATAAGATTGTTCCTGTTACTCTATGCTTCGCTTTGGAGGTCACCGAAAAAATGTAAAAATCTTGTTCACGTTGTTATATTCTGTTTAATATGCTGAACTCTGACTCAATTATAGTACCGATGAATACTTTGTAAAGAAATACAAAACACAAGATTGACCAGAAGATAAAAATGTCACAGACGGACCAAATTTTTAGAGAGACTTCATGCACAGATCTTCCCTGTTTGCATTCCTGCGCAGTTCCCTATTTCCTAGACCCTCCGATTCTAGTGTCTCTCTCAAAGATTTGCGCACGGATTTCCGTCTGGGGACCAGCGACGTACACAGCGTGCACAAGCACCAAGGATAAGCAGCTGTCATTTAACAAGAGGCGCAAACGAGAGGAGTTGTGGTGATGATATCGATTCACTCAGCGATAGTGAGACAGGAGTAGACGTAGACGCGAGTTGTGGGAGTTTTGGTTGTTACAGTTTGAGAAGCTCGCATGTCTACAGCCACGAGGTAAAGTCTGTCTTCAGTAAAAGGATGCGAGAGACAGTCACTACCGAGAGACCCCTACTTCTATCTACCACGACAACCAGCACACCTCCTCGTACGACTACTTCATATAGAGACGCAATCCTATACCCTTCATGTTGCAGTAGACAATATTTTCTTGAGGAGAGCACATTTTGTAAAGTAAGTAATCTAACCTTTGTCGTCCTATAACAAACACCAGCATTTTTTATATCTAAGGTATCATGAAGGTCCTAAGGATAACTCGTCTAGCGCATAAACCTCAACCTCCACCATTTGTATTTCATTGGTGCTAAAGAAATCGTTTCAATCATGTGAATCTTTCTCTAATGTTTTTCTGAGTCATACTTACAACGATCTTCCGAGGATACTAGTATTTAGCGTTAGTAATAGTAACGATGCAAGAACCACCCCCCTCCGCCCCGTATCGAGCTTCAGGTGGAGTCGCTCCGACTTTCGCCGGCATGTCAGTGTGGGAGCAAGAAGCGAAATACCAGTCCGACCTGCAAAGGATAAGACGGAATGTTATGAATAATCAACTTTCAAAATATACTACACAGGTAGAATATTATGCGTGAGTGATCAATTTCCCATGCGTGGAAAATCAACTTTTCAGGCTTGACCACGGAGGGTTAAAGATGAGGATGGGACACATGACCATGGTGGTGCTCATCAGGGGTTAGTACGAGGAGCAACTAGAAGATGATGACATTCTTCGTAGCTCTAGTTCCTGACCACTGTTTCTGTGTTTGATCATTTGAGGATGTCTTTCTTCCTCTATCCTGATCTCTAACCAAAGCCACATCGCGCTAGGGTGTAGCGTCCTTTGCTTTGTCACGGGATGTTGCAATTATTGCGCGAATTGCTGCATCGTCCCGTGGCTTGCTATTTTCGGCCAGAAAGCTAGCAGTGTGCCGGCAGTAATAATTTTCGTCTGTTTATTTATATTTTGTAGGGGAATACTTATGATAGATCACTTATTATCCGCTGATTTTTGCAATTCGCCGTGCACGGTCCGAATATTTACTTTCCCAGTTTTCAGGGCGTCAACCCGGTACTTAGGACTAGTAGTAGTTCGATTTTTTGGAATTACATGACCTACAGGATTTAGACCAGAAGCATTGTTGTTGCGCGTGTGCTGAGTATAGGGCGTCCGAAAGCGTGCGAATGTGGAGTAACCTTACGTTTCTGGGCCTCGGAGCTTGGGCGATAGCGCTGATAGGTGCTTTTGCCTATGCGCAAGGCATACTCGTGTATCCGGACTATCACTGTTTAAGGAGTGGTTGTATTTTGTTGTTGTATTTCAGTGATGAGGGAGGACAAGAACAAATTGTACTGCATGTAGGGGAGCTACCGGCCTGCGAGTTCAGAGGAGCTCAAGTTTGATTTTTGCCGATCCGGTGCTCAATGCGCAGGGCTGAGGCAGGACCCCATCTGAGTCTGAATCTGAGTGGGATGAGCTCTTTTGACTTTGCAAAAGAGGGGCAAAGGTGCTGAGGTCAATAGTATAACTCAAGAACAGGAGGTAAATGTCATTGTGAGTGAATAGTTCACTACTCAATAGTACTGAAGATCCTTCTCTATAGGACAGGACGCTGAGAAGCACAGCGTGATGACTCGAATCTACTCGGCAATCTGCCTAAGATTTCCCTGGCGAATTCTCCCCGCTAATGTGTAACTTCCATAATCGATCTTTGTGCAGTACCTGCTTCGAGTATAACTCGACCACTACCGAGAGGTCGAATGGGGCCTACGTCTATCCGCACAACTCTTGGGGTGCATGTATTGCAGGACCGGGACCCTCACCCCTGGATCGCGTGACAGAGCGCTATAGTGCCTGCTACTATGGCAGGAATCTCACACTGGAAAACTCGGCATCGGATTATAGCTATCACTTATGGCTTAATGTGAGACCACACTTCTGATAACGAGTACAGCTCAATGTGGCATGACCCACTATCTCTGATTCTTACAATTTTGATTGCGTTAGAATCGCTCTGATAGAAGTTATCACTCTCGATCTCCTAAATCTGTGTCCTTACTACCGAGAGCATGGCGATCTCGCTGACGAAGTCCAGGTAGCGAAAAAGAATCCGTTTTACTACTCCTCCGCTAGTAATCAATGGCTTCGCAGAATAACGTTCGGACTGACGTGTTTCGGGTACTAGAATAGATGGATGGTTGATTCTGTTTCAGTTATTTTGTTTTTCCTGTTTCAACACAACAGCAAGTACTACTGGTGCTGCTTTCGGGGATTATTAGCAATTTCTCCTCTAAAAAGAACTTCAACTTCTACCTGTGCAGGTACGACAACGCCTTCAAGAATCCGAAACACCCGATGTGTATCGATATATGCCGCTGTCTGAATGGGGAATCCGGTCAGACAGACGAGAGTGCGTCTGCAGAGTCGTACGCGGTCTTTGCTATAGTTCTTTCGATATGCTCTACGTTGACCGTAGTCCTGTTCTGTGCGATTCAACTCGACACGAGGCAGAGCATCACACATCTTGTTATGAGACAATTTGGATATATCAGGTCTGGTACGATAGCTTTTGTACTGGTACTGAAGACGTAAAAGTAGAAAGTTCAAGAGCTTACTGGGAACCACGGCAAAGTTGTTTCTCGGATACTATTCTTCAGATCTCATCTTCATTGTAAACCTAATCCTAAATCTAGACCGGCTCTAATTCCGAGCGCCTCTGGCCTCTAGTGAAAGCGAACGGTAATTCCGCATTAGCAGGCGGCCATACAGGATATGGGCAACCGGTGGTGGGTGTTCCTCACCAGGTGTTATTAGGCCACGCGTACTCTTAAGGCTCAACTTTCATTGGTCACCATTTAGATTGGGGTCACTGAGATCGAAGAGGGGCTCGCCTTAGAGAACAGGGGAAAATGAAGGGAGAACAAGGGGAGAGGCGCGGGGCCCTTTTCTTTCAGAATCAGTGATTAATGGGTATTGACGTCTAATACTCGACGCCAGTGGGCCAACAGCAACCGGCAGGCGTATTTGAAGGCACACCTGCGGCGGCGGGTATAATGTTGAACGATGTAGCTGCGCTATTACTATAGAAAAGAAATCTTCTTCAACTCATTTTTCTCAACTATATCGGCTGATCTTTTTGTACTACTTACATGAATGACCTGATTCAGTTTCACCAATTTCAATTTGTTGCAACCTACCACACAATCTCAAGGTCCTGGCGGCCAGAGCGGTGTAGCGACTGGTATTCCTGTGGCTGCTAGCGGGCCGACAAGCTCCCGACCGAGCAGAGGACCTACAAGGAAAACTTTCGAAACCCATGAACTCTTATGAAGATTATATGCTATCTGTATCTCAATAGCCCTTGCTTGTGCGACTTCTAGGACGTTTAATATTGGTGCAGAAGTAGATGTAGTTTCATCTCTCCTCGTGTTTCTTCAATCAGCATCAGCCTATGATCTAGTCCCACGATCTTTCCTCTAACTTTCGAGTCCTACGAATCTCTCCTCAGCGCACTGGACACGCTACCGGATGGAAATCTGCGGAGAGTGCGTACAAACTTTGTTTCTATTTTATTTTGTATTTTCAGATGATTGATGAGTCTTCAAGAAATGATTTTTACTTGAAATTTTCTTCACCCAAATTCACATTCAGTGAACAAGAACACAAGGAACACAGGTACGATCAGCATCACCTCAGTTATTTTCTTTTCCCTCCACCAGGTGGACTCCAATACCTCGCCTCAAATATGGTTACGTGCGTGGAGTTCGCAGAGATATCACGGCGCATCGATTTTCATGCGCGAGAGGAGTTCATAATAACTGCAGGAATAAAAAACTGTGTCAGTGACCTCCCGAACTTGCGGATGACACTCATTATGTACATGTGGGATAATATTAGATGAGTAAATGGGAGTAGTTCGAGTATTCACTTTTAGTTGAAAACTTTTATGTACTTATAATTGGTTGTTGAACGTTTAGAAAAGTTCTTGTATGCAAGACAGGACTGCGCTTACTCTTGAACAAGAAGAAGGTGGACTTACATACTTAGAAGTAAAGAATGAAATAATGATGCAAAATAACATCCCTATTGATATCCTTACTCCATTTCCCATACAACTTCTAATCCCCGTTCCATCCTGGACGAGCCTCTAGGAAGTGCAAGAATAGAGCGGTTGTGTCAGCAGATCGGGCTTGACTCAGTGGGCGATGCGTCAATGGATTCAGCGACATTTGGAACGGCGGACTATGGAGGCTCAGGTAGAGGAGTAGGAGCGACTGTATTAAGACATTGAGTCGATATTATACGTTGGACACTATGTTGTACTAAATAGAGGAGTCGACATTAACTGTTCTTCAGGAGAGTTGCTAGTTTCTTATAAATTCATGTTGGACATTATGTACTTGCACATTAGAAATCGAGGACTGTACTATGTCTTCTGGTTCTTGAAGGGATGTGCACTCTATTATACATAGCGTGTTGGAGATTGTTTGCAGCCTCTCTTTTTTATCACTTTGGTTTCTGTAGTTTCCGTTTACTCTTGGAGTATTCGGAGCAGAGAGCACAAACATTTACTTGTACTTATAGTTTTTCTAAGAATCCAAGCCTCGTCGAGTGCTCTCGCGCGGAATCCCTCTACCTCAATCGAATTGGCGGATCCAGGAGAGAAACAATCAAGTTCGCCAGTTACACGTTCTGACGACACTTGAGTGCGCGACAGGTCTGTGTCGTGCTTGCTTCCCAATTCTATACTTAAATGGTACTCAAGAAATGCGATCATAACTTTGTTTTGGTCTTTGTGCTTCTTCTGGCTTCTAACCACAGATGAAAACACTTGAATTTCTTTGCTTCATTACAGCATAAAGATTTTGTGTAGTTTGAGCAGGTGCCGTTGGGGCTCGTCGTGCAGGAACCTAACCTAACCTTGATAAATAAGTACCTACTTTCTTAGACGCCTGCGCGAGTTGCAGTTGGAGTACCCTCGTCTCGTCTGTGGTGACGTGTTTCAGGGTTCTGTCAGAGGAGTGTTCATCTGCATGGACGATCTTCCAGAGGTTGCAGGCTTGGGCTGACCTAGAAAGGCTTAGACAGGAGATGGATCTTGGAGGTTTCAGAGTATGGATTTTCTAGGAAAAAGGCGATCACGTCCATCAAAGAACAAGAGTTCCGAGAAGCAGGATGTGATCTTCGCTCTAAGACGCTCTAAGACGTTCACGCTTTTGAAGGGGTCTGATGGAAGTTGGGATTTTGATTGCCTATTAGGACTCCAGCATCTAATATGACTCCGTTTGCTCTTTGATATTAAGAATTTGAATCGCATAATGCGTAACCTTTTCCTTGATCTTCATAAGCTACAACTTACAACTGATGCTGTAGAAGTCGAGTCATTACGAGGATTTCTAGTCGAAGAATCATCAACCTCGAAGAGTCATCCAATCCCCCAAAAAAAAATACCATGTTGGGTCAGAGGATTATAGCCTCACCGACCAGAGCGCGAGGACTCGACTTTGTGCGCAGACCTGGCGTCTCACCAGCAGCTCAACTCTCTACTTCGAGGACCAGAAATGTACGTCTTCGCACCTATGCAACCTCAAGTACCTCTGCCTGTTCCACTCCAACAGTGTCCGGAAGCATCTTAGATCCCCGAACTCCACCACCAGAGGGCGTTCGCTATAAAAATGATCGTTCTACTGCAGCAGAGGTACTTCTACAGGCTAGAAGTGATCGTACAGCCTCTAGTACCTCAGCAAGTTCAAGAACAGCATCAAGTACAAGTACACCATCTTCAAGTACTACATCAACATTTTCAAGAACTACAGGAGAAGGGGGTGGAAGGATTGCGGAGATAACGAAGTTTCTGCGGGAGCTAAATGAGGCAGACTATCGTGAGGCTCAAGTTCTGGACGGGGTATACCGTCTGGGCGCACAGAAGTGGTACGATATACCCCATGTGCCGAAAAGTTTACAATATGAGCTCTCTCAACGGTTTTCGAAGTACGTGTCAACGCTCAACCCAGTACAGTTTATGGCACATTTAATTTTTGATGCGATAACGATATTAAGGCTGGAGGGGAGTCGCAGTTTCTGAGTATTTAGTCATGATAGAAATACTTCTGAATGGCAAGAAACTGTTGACATTCGATCTTTGAAGAAGTGCTCTAGTGGTCGTTTCTCTCCATATTGGTTGATAATATCTATAGAGATAAACGACTGTCAAATTGATTTCGGACAATTTCCTAGTTTTTACACTTGAACAAGATTCAAGATCATCTATCATTGAATGTCTGGCGCTATCGGCGGATGGTGGTAGCGCAATGAAAGACCACTCAGTGCGGCAATTATTCACGATGAGATCTGACTTCGAAAGCGGTCGATCGAGTTGTTTTATGGCAAAGACTTTTTTGTAGATTCGGATCTAGTAGAAAGTTGTTCTAACCTAGTGCTAGGTGAACCAGTTAAGCTTGTATCTAGCAGTTCTAGTTTTGAAAAAAGGCATTGAAGGCATTGGGGGGTCGCTCCCCCCTGCTGCGTCGTTCGTGTCTTCTCCTATCATAAGCTGAGTGTTGTGAGCAGAGATACGAATAGTGCTTATCGGTATTGCTTATTAACTGCATAAACAAAAAATTCCCTCCCATTTTCCCCTTAGAATAGTACGTTACCCTTCTCAATCCAAAACTTAGGTAGATAGTTCTAATTTGATAATACGATGAATTGACAACTGTATCAATATATTTCTTGTATTGCAGGCGATGCTCATTTGTTTCTTGTTTCTTGTCTTCAAAAATGGGCGTTTTTCCTCATTAGATGACAATCTGGGGATGGCAATAACAGGTCCGAGTACAAGTACCGGACAAGTAGAAGATCTTTTGTTTAAGTTTAACATACAGTTATTCTTTCGTAGTTGAGCAACATTTTGCTCTACTTTCATGATCCAAGAGGGAGTCTGTCTACTGGTGCACCATTTATGTTATTCATTATGCTCTAAGTTCACAACCGAAGAAACGAAACACACCAGACCAGCGAGACGAAGCAGCTACATTGAGACATTGTACTGTGCGCGAGACGCGTCTTTATCCTTGAGTTCGCAGGATGGTTGTGCTTTCGCGGGGTCATATAGTAGGACGAAAGGGTTTCGGAGACAACTCACTGCTGACGAGATCTGCGACCAAGTGCTGTATTTTCGCAGTGACACAACATCGTTGTCAGTAGACGAGGGAAGCAGGAAGGATGGAGGAACGCAGACAGCGTTTTTCAGTACTAAGCAAGGTATGAATGGATGGTAGTAACTAAACGCACAGGCTGATCACGTGACGTTTTACTTTCGTTTCCCATCTCCAGAAAGACTTCTCCTGTAGTTTTTTTTCACTAGTGGCAGTATTTTTATTTGCTGTGATCGTCTTATCTAGGACATTAGACTATTCAAGACGTGACGTTCAAGTTCATAATCGCAGGAGACCAGGAAGGCTTGCCATGTGGAAAGTCAGGATACCATGGCATCTTTTCTTCGTCGGAAACCCTGCCAATATTAAGGCTAGCCAGGAGTCACTCTTTTGTCTTTTTGTGAGGAAGTAAACCTAGAGTCAGGGAAGTCCCCTTTGATTTAAACGTCGAGCTAAGTTGTAAGGGGGAAACTCGCGCGATTAATGGTATTGTATTGTATAGGTTTTGATGGCATTGCGCAGCTCTAACAACAAGGCGTATAGATTTCGATGGCATTGGTGAGCCGCTTGCAAATCCGAATATTTTTGAGGCCATGAGGTTACTCACCGAACTAGTGAAGATATCACCACGCCGAATCCACATTCACACCGCTGGCGTGGTGCCTTCGCTGCGGCGCCTAGTAGAAACTGCCACGCAAGTGAAATCATCGAAAAACTTTTTCGCGTTTCTTTATGAGGAGACGAGCATTACTCTATTCTTTCCGATATATGATTAGCGCACAGCTGACTTCTGGTTTTCCAAAAGAAAGTACTTATAGAGATTCACTTCTTATAAGAATCGTCTTATTCCCTTCATATTCGAAAACTCAAAATAACCGAGTTACTGAATGAAATAAGGGAGGTAGCTAGCTTTGACAAGGCTACTCTCCCTTCTCATCAGTATCTCGGTTGTTCTGATCAGGTACTTGCTTATTTCAGACAGTTTTTCTTATAAGAATCGTCTTATTCCCTTCATGTCATGTCATTCGCATGATGTCTCTCATATCATCGCACAGCTGAATCTCGTTCTCCACGTGGGGTCTGTGGTAGAGGAAGAGCGAGATCGATTGCTGCCGCTGAATCGCGTGTATCCTCTGGCTGATGTGCTCACCGAACTCGATGCGCTCGTAGCTGCAACGGGGCGTCGTATTGTTACGATGGAGCTTCGTAAGTTTTGTTGAAGATGGAGAAGGCTAGTACTTCATGAGAGAGCACTTCTTCATTAGATGGTCTCATAAGAATTAAGTAGTTCTACACGAGAGAGAACCGACAATAGTCTCATAAGTATTATCCAGGAGTCTATATGTATTATCCTGTACATGAGATGACCCTAGAACAGAGAGAGAGAGTGACACTGTACCTACTATACCTGATTCTCTAGTACATGACAAAGAAGATCAAGTTGATCTATGTGTCACACACTATGTAAAATGATTTGAGAAACAACTGGTGCAAGTTTCTATGCGAATCTAAGTCGCTATTTCTCTACGAGTTGAGGAGTGGTGAAAATGATTCGACTGGGCATGCCGTTGGCCTGGCTCGGTTGATCCATAACAGGAAACGACCCGACCTCTGTCACGTAGAGCTGCGTAGTGTTGTTATGATCGTAGGTCAGATAAAGGTATTACCATTTCTTCTGTGCAATTAGGTTTTTTGATTCGCTAAGGTTGACATGGGTATTACCTTTTGACCTCCTTGGTTCGTGACAATCCTATCTTTGAAGATACTGCTCTTGAAGCGATGTAGAGGCCGTCCACATGTGGAGGAAAATGCTGAGACTCGGCAGAGGCCCGGTCTTCGACAGGGGACTGATCTTCGACGGGGGACATTCATTTTCGAAGCGATGTCGTCTAATGAGAATAGCACAGAGAAGATGGGGCGGAAGGCGGAGGAGGATATATCCTCGGAAGACACCCGATTGGAGGCTGCAAAAGCGAAGATATCAGGAGAGAGCGAAGATATAAGGTTCGCGCGTATACTTGGAGAGAGGGGTGTCAGCGTCTCAGTGCGTCCAAGTGATCCGGGAAGTTAAGGCGTCTCTGAGGACTCGTTGGACTTGTCGTCACCCTTAATATTTTGGGCGATGGCGCTCAGCTTGCTACAACTTAGATTTCTTCGAGTAGCTAGTGGTTGAAGACGGTGAAAAGACTTTCTTGGGTTGTTTCAACGGGGTCAGGACTGCCCTTAAAAAGGTTTGGGCTTATGGCCTTAGACCGTCGTTTTGCTCACTTGCGCTTACTACAACCTATAGATCAATTTTAAGTAGTAGTTGAATCTCCTCTAATAACAGATCCAGCTGGGCGCAACGTTTGGGCAGCAGGATGCTGCATACCGAGAACGAGATAGTGGGAGCTCAATTGTCAAGAGGGGTCGAGTTCTTTTCTCGCAAAATAGATGATGCCATTCTTAAGGTTAGGGTCTAGGGGTTAGGGCTTAGTGGAAGAAGAAGGAGAAGGAGGTAGTCGAAGAAGCTATATCTAGATCAAGTAGAAGGTGTTGTTATATTTGGGAGAAAAATAGGTGGCGCTATTTGATTCAGTCACAATTCTTGATGCTTTTCTGACGGCTTTGTCAAAATAGAAAAGAACTCCAGACATCGGATAAGAAAACAAAGATATCAACAATCCTAGTATATGATTATGGAGGAATCTTTCCACAATCAATTAGAGCAGTCTGCGCCTCCAAGAAAACGCTGTGCATCCCCTAGATGAGTTACTGGCTTAGGCGTTGCCCTCTGCACTAAATATTAAGCAATGACAAACAACAACAACGACGGACAACAATTAACGACCGACATAATTTTATTGGCGGGCACACCAACTACCAACCGGAGTCAGTCAGTCGGTAATGAATCATGATGATGGTGTAATGATTGATGATGCCCTATGTGATGGCGTAATTCTTACTGTGTGAGGAGAAGAGCAGATACGAGCAACAGAGAGAGGGAGGAGAGATGCCGAGTGGAAGGCGATATGCATGTGCAGACAGTACAGAGATTAAAAGTTGAGAAGAACCTGGAGGGCTAAGAAGTAAAGACATCGTCTCAGTTTTATAGGTAAAAATTAAAACGATTCATCTAGGGACGACCCTGATTATAATAGCAACTTTTTTAGGAATTAATATCTGTGAACAGTATACATTTTGATGACCAATGAGCAGAGGATGACGGTGGGTTCTTGCAATGGACAGGCTACCCGGAATTTCAAAAATCCTTGTAGCGAATCAGCACACTTTTGGTCATGCGTACGCGAAGGCGCTTCAAGCGTACTCCGTTCAATCTGCTCAAGCGTCGTCCGTTCAATCTGCTCGAGCGTAGTGCGTTAAAGCTGGCTTTCCACTCAATCTTCAACGTTATGGCCCCCATTAATCAATCTCTTTAACCAAAATCTTAGTGCTACTAAGGCCTTTCAACTCGGAAGAGGTTCTAGTTTAAGTCACTTAGTCGTTGCTGGATCTGTTTCGTCTTGCCGGTAGTTCAGGATGACTACTTAAGACGCGAATGAAATGAGCCTACATTTGACACACTCACTACTTCTAAACTCGACGACTCGAATCTCGGACGAAAGGACGACTTTCGGGATCACTACTGCTGACATCATCATCACTAGATGCTACTACCATTGCGGTACTAGTTGTACTCCCTAGAGAAGGGAGTTTTGGTTTACTACAGGGAGAAGATACGCTCCGAAAGACTAGAGAAGAAGGAAGTTGCGCTTACCGCTGGAAAATGGTTTTTACTGGAAACCGAAGTGCGAGTTGGGAAAGGAGCTATGACAACAACTATGGAAGGAGGAGCCATGACTGGAGCTCTGGCAGCAGCCATGACTGGAGCTCTGGCAGCAGCTACGACAACAGTCGGGAGAGGAGCTATGGGGGAAGCAGCTATAACGTCAGCAGCCAGGAGCTGGAGCAGTCAGGCCGTAAGTTAGCTAAGTAGATGCCTTTTAGATTTCCGCTGCTTGTTATTGTTAGTACTTTCCTTGTGGTTCTCTACTTCAGGAGGCAGGATCTTGGCAAGTCTACCTTCACCTTTCTACTAGGTAGGACTAGGATATAAGTACCCTTGGTATAGCCTTTCTACTAGTCTAGACTATTCCCTTAGTAGGTAGGATCTTCACCTTTTTGTTAGGGAGACTGACTGGGGAGACAAAGGCTGACGAGGGAGACTGACCATGATCGCTAATGATGTGCGATCCGACGTATTAACGCTCTTGAAGAGCTGTCCTAGTTGAGAGCGGCTCTTCCCCGAAGCCCTAAGCTGGAAGATCTTGATATGCATTTACACGTTTGAAACTGTACTGTTTGGCACCTAGTTATGAATTTTCCGAGGTTCACTATGGTTGTACTATTAATTTCCCTCTGGTTGTGCTATCTAAATTCCGCGTAATGCACTACTAGATTTTCGTGTATTGTTAAAACCAAAAGTCTCTTACAGGAACTGGCACAGATACCGGTATAGATACTGGTATAGATACTGGTACAGATACTGGCACAGATACTGGTATAGATACTTGTATAGAGACTTGTATAGATGCTGGCATCCGCCCAGCATTATGATAGGCCCAGACTAAGAGTCTAGTGCTGGTCTTGTATCCTTATGGCGTTTGCCCTAAAGAATAAAAGCCTGAGTCGGTCGATGATACTCCCGCCCCCGGTGCTATTAGGTCTAGCATAGGAGTAATATACTCTGGCGACCATGCTCCCCCGGTATAGTTCTGAAAGTAGTAGCCTGCTACTTATCTAGATACCATCGCCGCCCGGTATTGCGTTAAGATTGATCCACCCGAAAAGTATGGCGATGGCGTGCGTTTCTGCTCTGGTATATCATGTCCCGCGCGTTATCTAATCAGCAGCTCCGTGCTGGTTCTTCTCGCTCAAGACCCAAATCATACCAGGGGACCTTTATAAACTGCACGGCCTTCGGCCACGCAACTGCGTACAAAGCTGCACCATGATTTTAAACGCTGCGCCACTATCGTACTGATTTGATTGGCCTGCACTATGGCCAAAATAGCCGCCCCGGATTCTACAACCTGCGCGGCCTTCGTGTTCCTCCTGCCCGCTGCTACATTCACCGGGCTGAGCTTGTAGGCCCTTCGTGAGAGAGATCGAGAGAGGCCCAGGCCTACAATGTTACGGGCATAGAAGCTTGCTACTGGCTTAGATACTGGCATAGAAACTGGGATAGATTTCGGTATAGATACTGGCATGGTCCATGGAGTGCACAAACTGGAGACTTAACCCCCGGGGGTCCGAAAGCTACTGGCGATCGATGCTTTTTAGTGCGGTGGCAGCGCGGTAGGCTGGCCCGGCAGACCCGGGCCGTTGCCGGCGCCGGTCGTTGCACCTACGGCCCATATTAAGACTGCCGCGGAGCGTGGCGGGGGGGCCTTTACCTCCCCAGAGAGAGTTGCGTGCCAGCGCTCGCGGGTCGTAGCCCCTGCGAGTCGATCAGCCGGCACCCGCGAAGCCCTGGGTGCTCGCTTTTCGCGTCGGACACTTTAGCCCGGGTGCGCGGCTAATCCCTCGGCAGTAGCAGGCGGTGGCCCCGCGCTGGGGGACAGGGTCGCGCTGAACCTCCGGCCCGCGCTGTTGGCCAAGAACTACCGGGACTTGCGCTCCCGCTCAGCCTCTGGCCTCGGTTTGACTCGTGCCCTTGGCGAGTGGACCGCTCCGAGCCCTTATATATTCTTTCCTCACCGGCACCTTCCTCCGGAGACCCCGACCAGGCTCCGGCTTCCTGGTGCAGACTTGAGCCGGCGGCCTTAGACTCGCATCCGCCGAGAGGACGTTACGGGAGCGCGTGCCGGCCTTTGCACAGGTTTGCGCCAGGACCTCCTGCCGGCCAGCACCCGCGCCGGTGGTGTGCCGGGGCGGCTGCCGACCTCCGCCGCGCTTGCCTCTCGTAGGGGAGGGGTGAACTCCCTGAGCGGCAGCGACGACAGGGGCCGGCAGGCTTTCACAAAGTTCAGCCAGCCATAGTCGGGCGCCAGTGGAGTGCTGAACCGTCTGCAGATCTGGGGTGGTGTCGGTGAACAGGTTGCACCTGTTGCGCCTGGTCATGTAGTCCGCCAGGTTCCATCTGGACTCTACGTAGACGCGCCACGGTTTGGCATTGTTGTCGTGCCAGTGGTTTACTACGTCGGCCGCGGTGTTTGCTACCACCGCTGACTTTCCGCTGCATTTGGTGAAGCTGTAGGGCGCTGGCGTGTTGTCGATCAGCGCTACGAGGTCGGAGCTGCTGGCCCAGTTTTGGGGCTGTTTCCTTTTGCGGCGAGACCTACAGCGGCCGCCCCCAATACTTCAACCCTGGCGCTTCCCCATCGGGTGTCTCTTAGGGGCTGCATCTGGATGAGGTTTTTGCCGTTGTGGTGGATCGTGACGCATCCGAGCGCCGGTTCGCCGTTCGGGCCGCCATCCGTTGACGCACGCGTCGGCGAGCAGGAAACTCAGGGGCTTCGCTATTTGTTCTGGCCTGAGCGTGGGCCTGTTTACCTTATGGGCCAGCCATCTTTTCGATGGCCGCTGTGGAGTGGAGGGGTGCCCTCCGTTGCCGCCTCTGCTTCGCCATTTTGTCGAAGGTGGCGCCCTCCGTCCACGCGTAGAGGGACCTCATTACTTCGTCTCCCGCTCTGTTTGCTGCGGAGACTGTAGTGGGGTTTGCTAGTCTTAGGAATCGCTGGGCCACTTTTTTGCCCAGCTGCCCCGCGTTGGCTTTTTGTCGGAGCTCTTTACTTTGCGGCCTCCGCTACCTGCTGGAGCATTTTCTCCGGCGCCACGGCGTCAATTGCCGCCCTTGGGCTTGTATCGTAGTGGGGGCCCAGGATACGCGCGGCTGGGTCTTTTCTGGAGTCTTGTTGTGCCGCGGCCTTTGCTGCCAGCTCCAGCCCCAGGCAGTCGCAAAGAGCTCGGCGCGCGTCTATCGTCTCGCCGGCCCCTTCTTCGGGGCTGAGGATGATGGCGTCGCCGATGTAGATTGGCGCTACCGTGTGGCCGGGCGTGGCCATTATCTTCATGACCAGCTCCGCCACCCTGCGCCAGCTGCTGACGCTGAGCCGATTTCCCATGTGCAGGATCGCGCTGGGGAACATGTGGCAGCGTCCTTGAGTGTCGTCCCAGACCCTCGCCGGGTTTTCTTCTGGGTGCCGTGCTCATACCCGTATGAGTGCCTTGCTCCAGTCTCGGAGTGCGATGCAGGGCTTTCTACCAGCCGGCCGGATTTTCATCCTCTCCCCGTTGAGAAGTCTCACCTGCTCGCCAATTTGGCGACTCTCGCTGGTGGCTTCGCCGGCGCTCGTTTTTGCGCGGAAATCTGCTACCTCTTTGGCCACCTGACCGCAGACGTCCGTAGTGAGCTGGGTCCTCACCGGTGCGTGTGGCTAGCGTGAGGGCTTCGGCGCCCGTGGGTGCCATGTAGCTTTTGACGATTTCCAGGCGAACCGTTTGCGTGCCGTGGAGCTTTACCTTTTCCGCCATCTTCGAGAAGTCGTCCTTCCACCTCTCGGCGATGGATGTTTGCCCGGACTTTTTCCGGCTCCACTTTCTTTGGGGGAGGCGTGTGCCGGCATGGCCTTGAGGTCCGCTGGGTCTATTTCTTTGTATCTGCCCAGCTGGGTGCTTGCCTCAATGTTTTTAAGGACTTGCCGGAGCGCTTCCGCCGGGGACCCCTTTGGAGGCGCATCGCGGATTTTTACCGCGGTGCTGTAGAGCTCTCTGAGGTCCTTTGCTTCCGCAGCATTTTCGTCCGCTTTCCAGAGGCCAGCTCTCTCGTGCTCGCCTATCGTTTGGAATCTGTGGAGGATGTCGCCTGGTGGCGACGTGCCTGGGTGGCCCGTCAGGCAGCGCGATGAGCTTTCTCATTGCGATGGCGTTCCTCTTCCTTGTCTTGGTTGCTTGTAATGTCTGGGGCGCCCGTTTTAGGTGCTTCGGTGCAGCAGCGTTTGCCGGCTCTGCATTTGCTTGCTCGGTTTGCCCTTTCAGGCGCCTGGGCAAAGCAGTGGCTTGCTTCCTTCGCTTAGCCACCGCTGCCGGCTGTAGTTTCTCGGCGGCTATCAGTTGCCCCCACTCGGGCGGCAGCCTCTGGCCGTGGGACTCGAAATGTAGCTGCGCTCGTATTCGGTTGATGAAGTTGCACCACTCGCGGTAGTCTTTGCCGTGCTCCGCCTTTGTCTGGCCAGCGTCTAGCGGTGTGGCAGTCCTCAGCTTTTGAGTTTCGGCTTGGTTGGCCCCTGGGAGAGTTTTTTTTCGACTGTCGTCCAGGAACCTCCCAGAGAGTGCGCCTTTTCTCTCACCTATGTCAACTCATCAGTTAGCTTAGTCACTTCTCCCGCAAGCTCCTCCAGTGCATAGACAAAATCTTCTGCGCTCCTGTATTAAACTCCTCAAACTACTGGGGCAGTGAGTCTGCTCTTCGACGATATCGTAGAATCGTAAGGCATCTATCTGGCTGGGGGCAACGAAGTAGTACTACTAGAATTTGTAGGATACATAGATCTACTCAAGAATATGCAGATTCATGATATAGATATTTATCAACTCGAACAACATACACTCACATTGTTTTGGAACGAACCGCCCTTTACTAGGTGGAGGTGCCGGTGAAGCGACGTCGGTTGCCACAACGTTCTTGCAGACGAAAGACGATCGCTTAAGATTCTCTCTCCCGTCCCCTATTCTTCAACAGTTGATCATACTTTGGTAACTTCAATCATATAAATATTATATATATGTACTATGGTCACTAACACTAGTAAGTGACCAAACCCAGGCAGCTGAAAGTTGTTACGTGGTTCAAAATGAATGGGTGAGTGAATGAATATTTATTACATCTAACTTACTAAGTAATGTGGGGACGGCGTCTTTGTCTTCTGCCAGGGTGATTATACTTTTACACGAGAGCATAAATTTTCAGACTTGACCAGGGAGGGGTAGCCATGAGATGCATGACCGTGACCATGAATCAATACGTATGACTAAGGTGCTAGTACCTGCTTTGGCGCGTTTCTCAAGAAGGCAACGTGTGAGGGTCCTTGGGGTGATGGTAGGGGTACTCTTACTAGAGCGAGGGGACTATTTGAGACGCAAGCTTGTTCTTAGCGATGAGAACTTTTGGACTGATTGCTCTTCCTTATCATGGAGCAATCATCCAACAACCACAAGGTACCTGAGAGATGCCAGGTTATTGCCTATCCTAGGACGCCTTCTATAATGCACGACATATAATAGATATATTGTTTCTTAGAGTTAGAAGGGTGCGCCTACTGTTGGAGGTTCACCGAAATGCTCAGAGGTCCATCTAATGCTCGTTCTGACCGAGATCGCATATAAGAACGATATAGGACACTCGAAAAATTAAGGCTAGTGCTTCACTATCCTACGTGGACTATGCTGAGGGGAGTCCCCCTTATTTTACAGGGGAAACTAGGGGGAAAAACAGATGGGGAACTCACGCACCCAGGGATAGTGAAAAAGTACCTTTAAAAAGCGTTGCGGTTTTTGTTTGAGTTACAAGACAAGGGCGAGTGGATGAGGCACGAAGATCCGGTGAAGCAGGAATTAGACAGGAATTACATCTTTCGTTTTGTGTTATGGAAAAATGTAGTCCTCGTGGTGGATTTCGTAAAATTCTTTGATAAAGAGTGTCGACGAGAATTCAGAGTGCCACACCTGATCGTGCATGGACCACAGGGGCTTGTGTACCTGGATTGTCGGGCCTCAAGTAATTGTGCGGGGATCCCCTATGTCCGTGAAGGAGTGGCAGCGTAGACAGCCGCAGAAGAAGCCTTTGAGGGCTCTGCGCACGACACCGAGGATGGCGTCCTGGAAAGTTCGGCCCCGCAAAGATTTTCACTGAGGACGGGTCGCGCGTCCCTCTCTTGTCCTCGACCGTGTCGCGAAGCGAGTGCAAGTTTTCCTTGTTCCTTTTTTCGTCATCCTTCTCGCTTCTCTCCCTCTCTAGGGCGCGCAGGCGGCTACGTCAATCGGAGTCCCTTTTTTTGGCGGCGGTGTCTGTAGCTACTGGCGAAGGAGGTGGCCACTGACCAAGGAGCTGCGGCGGACGAGTATAATCTTGCTGCTGCTTGTTTTCTGCTTGACAGGCGCTACTGCTAGCATATTCAGCGCACCGTTAGCCACCGCAGCCGCGCTAATGGGTGGGCTGGTCGGTACGTCTTGCCGGTTGTGGTTTTGCAATAGCGATCTCGCGTGTACTCATTAAAGTGTCTCCTTCCTGCGTAGGTGGCGGGGGTCAGCGTGGTTGGCATGCTATAGCGGGCCGGAGCCCTTGACCGCGGTGCGCCGCTATGGCGGGCGGGCCCATAGACTCTGAGGCGCGGCGCGCGCTCTCTTTCGTGCCTTTGCGCTGTATTAACGCTGGCGGCCTGCGCCTTGTCTTGACCCTTCCCTCGCTCGCCCTTAAATTATTGTGCTCGCGCGGCTGCATCATGCGGCTGTGAGGGGGGCCAGCCCGGATGGGTGTCGCTGCTTGGGGTGCTTGGTGCTTTGTTCCCATATTACTATACCGAGCACCGCGCGGATGCTCGGTTTCACTTTCTTTGGGTGGGTGGGGTGCTGGCCTGCTTCGCGCGGTTTCAGTACAGTAGGCACGGCGATTAAGTGGGGGAACGGGTGATGAAGTGGGATTCGCCAGTAACGCGTCCTCTCAATTTCTTCGCTTGAGAGGATTCGGCCCTCGACGGAGTGATAGATGATTCTCACTACATGTTAGTTTCCTATATGCATAATAATTGCGCGCCGCTGTCGTGCCTACATTTAAGCAATTCAATGGGTACACCATTCTTATCTTTTTTTTGCTTCCTTGAGTAATCAACGCTAGGCGAAGAACATGTTTTTTCTTTTTCATACGAACGGCGTGTGGGGTCTTTTTGGAAGACAGCGGTTACATGCCCATCGGGCTTTGAAGCGGCACAACCGAAGACGCCCGAAGATGCCAAGAGAAATGGGGGCGGTAATGGATATATGGAATAGCATTAGCAATTCTTATCTCTCCTAAAGTGAATTATTTGAAGTTCAAGAAGTACTACAACTTTTACTAGAAATATTTTGCCTAGTTCATGTAATAGAAGTGCACTGTAAAAATTCGATAGATTCTCCATGGGATGACCTTCGGAGGGTACTGGAATGTTGAGCGGCATTCCCTCTGGAATATGTCTAGGCATTATCGATGACCCACGTGCCTCGCAATGGGTCGTGAATGATGTGATGAACCTCATCTGTCTCTCATGCTCTGGAGCACGCCCATAAGCGATTTGGATGTGGAAAAAGGAGACGGGAGAAAAGTAGAAGAGCGATACCTTTCGTCGATTATGCGGTGTCCGGGTCCCTGCCGGGCGGACGAAAAGAAATATCACGGAATCACGACGACGGGGCTAGGAATCACTGCCGCGGAGGAAGAGGCAAGGAAGAGAGGCAAGGCATTTGCGGAAAAACAGAAGGAGAAAGCGGAACTCGCGAAAGCGAAAGCGAAAGCGAAAGGGAATCCCGCGGACCCGCGAAAAGCGGCGAGAGGAACGAAGGGCAGACAACAAAAGAGTGGAGGGGAACTGGCGAGAGGAGAATCCAAGCAAGTGACAAGAGGACAAAAAGAGCAGAAGCAGGACCAGCCGACCGTAGAAGAGGGGGCGGAACTGGTGCGAGGAGACTCCGAGCAAGAGGAAGAAGGACAAAAAGAGCGGGAGGACCAGCCGACCGCGGGAGAAGGTGGTGGCCCGGCGGTGCTCTTTGGCTCGAGGTCGCTATGCTTCGATACGGCTCAAAACTGGGCTACCGCAGAAGTAGATGCGTCGAATCATCAGAAGCGGTGCTCTTTGGTACCTTACATGGCGGCAAAGAAACCAGGGGCTATGACTGATCTCTCGCTTCTTTCATTTTCATTTTGTCTTTGCTTTTAGTGAAGGGCGCCGCAGTACTGTAGCCTGTTCTTCGTACTTCGTGTCTCTCAATAGTGAATACCATGATACGGTGCCAGCTCGTGGCGCTCCTTTGCGTCAGCACTTGCAAGTAGAGCATCTATAATTGCATCCTTACTCTAAAGCGCATCACATACGGAAGGATGATCTGATGCAGATGAAGCTGTGTGGGTTGAGCCTCGACGATGCTAAGTGCGCGATCGGAGAAGAGTAAGGCGAGTGGCTGCGATATTTTCTACTGAAAATGAATTATCTTCACGCGTCCAGTGTCGTCTAGACTCTGGGGCTTCACTATTAATTTAGAAAGACCAAGGAATTTACCAGGGTGGAGTCCTATCCTACTACTTGCAAGTTGCAAATAATCGTTAGCCACTATTGCTTAGAATATAACCTCTACTATTAGTGTTAGAATTTATCCTTTGTTATTTTGTCATTGTCGACGTTCCTTAATCTTACTTGTTTTTTGTGCTACGTACGATCGCGTGTTGCACGATATCGACGTGGTCACGTTGACCTTATAATAGAAGCAAAGGCTTGAACGCTCACCCCATGGCTTGACTTTCGTCTTTTACCTTAGAAAAGGCATGCGTGTTGCAATCACATTCGTGCAAGACGGGCCTTCCTATGGGCCGTGGGCACTCGCCTAAGCCTTCCGCAAAAATATGCACCAGGGAGCGAGCCCCTGTGGGTGGAACAGATGTCCGTCCATTTGCATTCTCTCCTTTTTTGTCTCCGTCTTTGTTTCTTTTTTGTCCCTACTTAGGTCATGAGGCGTCTCTACTCTTCAAGCACTAAGAAAGCAGCCGACCACCCATTCTCCTTCGACTTTGACCCGACTGACAATGCATTGTATAGAGAGACGCAGCATTACTTATAGAAGTAGAGCTCTCTAGGGGTAGGGGTTTGGCTTAGGTCCAGCGACGCTCAAAGCACTCAATGAATGAAGAAAAAGTAGCCGGTTAGCTTTTCCTTCGTAGTTCCTTCTTCCTTCACGATATAGTACAGAAGTGAAGAGCTCTAAGAATGTGGCTCAAGCTCACCCCCTAAAGACACGGGAACCGAGGACGGGAAGTGGCACTATTCGACCTGCATGCGAAGCGCGAATTTTTTCGTCTTCAACCAGTGTTTGACGCTTTTCGATGAAGCGGAGCCGGGAGGCAGTATTAAGGCTTCGCCTGGCTGATCCATGTTGAGAAGCCTCCTGGAGAGGACGTTTTTAAGAGGAGCATCCCGGAGAGGATGGGGGAAGGCCAAGAGGTCTCAGGATGGTCTCCAGGGTGGATCATCGGGGTGAGCACTAACAGTGCTTGGCAAGATTTTCTTAAAATGTTAAGAGAGAACCCCGAACATCTGACAAATTTTCGAAAGGTGCTCGCCTCCAGTGAAGCAGTGCCGCGTCCAGTGCCGCAAGACGCGTCTTCAAGTGGAGCTGCATCATCTTCGTCAAGTAGTACTGGCACAAGTAGTACTGGTACTAGCGACCCAAGGGCAGAAGAAAGAGAATTAGTGGGGGAGTTCGGTGAGGACCAGCTCCGCGTATGGTACTACAAGTGGAGACTGTGGCACGCGTTCAATGTCTACAACAGCTATCGCCTGGACCATATTTAAGGCGCCGCCAGTTTAACCGCCGTTTGAGTAGTTTAGGATGACTACTTGAGCATCAGGCGTGATGATGATAAAGTGACAACTTTGTGTCTTGCTCTTCACTTTTTTTACGAGGAGTGATGTACTACTTTAACTCTATAATATTTTTTAGTGATTTTGAAAAACATAAACATTAGTTTTTCTTCTATCAAGCAGATGTTTGTATTTGCTTGTGTGTTGATTGTTTCCATTTCCTATTTAGGATGCACTCGAGGTCGAGTATTAGTTTCTTCTACTGATTTTCTAACAGGTAACGGCAGCTCTAGTTCTGGTTGGTAAGATGCACTTGCTTCTCTGGTTGCACTAAGATTTCCTGGACGAGTAGTTCATGTACTAGCTGCTTCTTTGTAACAAGCCAGTCCCTCTCTTCAGCAGTGTCTACTAGTACCCTAGCCAGCAAACAAGTCGTGTCCTCTAAGATACCACTTCGTCAGCCTTGATCAGTAGAGAAGCACGCGACTGCGAGCGATGGGCGACGATAACGCTCGCCACAGTTTGCGCGTGGGACAGGGGACTTCAAAACTACAAGGAGAAGCAGGAGAATTACCAAGGTACACTTGAGAAGATGGGGTGGGTTCGCACGGCCTCGCCAATCGTTTCGAAAGACCTGCAGGCGCGGGTGAAAGAGCAAGACCTACAGGCCACCTTTGCTGACCGGTCCACTGTCGACCCCCAAATTATGAACCATAGGTCTTAAGAATGGGCATGAAGACCATTCTACTAGTACTAGAGCCAACAGCTTAAAGACTCACGGGCATCATAATCAAGGAAACAACAGGAGCAAGAAGACCAACACGACAGCAACACCAAGACCAGCACCATCACCACCTGCATCAAGATCAGCAAGATCCGGCTTCTATCTAAGATCCTTAAGGCCTTCAGTGTGTGAAGTAAGTGACTAGCTACGTGATGGAAATAGATGGCCGCGATCTAGTTAGCCTAATCGGGTGCAAGGCGTTAGGCCTGAGGGATCTCCATAAGATAACAACAACAGCAGCCAGCTGCATCTGCCTCCTCATTTTTACTCTCTGCTTGTGCAGATTAGCACTAGCGACAGAGCAGGGGCGACACCGCGGAGGATGGTGAAGCACGTCATCCAAGACTGTAGCCATTGGGCCCCCTGGAGCTTAGTCTAATTTTGATGCCCTCTCGGCCGAAACGCCCACCAGCCCCCGCCTGACCCTCGGACTACTCGGCGGTGATGTTAAGCGAGAAGAGGCCTAACTAGCTTTCAATCTGCTGCTGAGTCATAGCATGCATGTAGGTATTATAATCATCTATGATATATATAAACCAAAACTAAACTTGAGACCTAAAGGGGGGCAGCTATATTATACGGTGTTAGATGTGCGGAAATCACGGCAAAGATGTATATCGCGAGAAATATACCGCATATGGAAATCGTGGGAAAGGTCTACGTTTAGGACGTACTTAAACTGGGGCGGTTCGTAATGGGTTTGCCAAGTTCTATCTTTTTGAGATGTACGGAAATCACAGCAAAGACGCACTTGCTACGTGTATACATCTCACGCCGTACAAGTGCCACGGTTTTGCGTGCACGGTCCTGCCCCTGCAGCATTTCGGAAGTAGGTGCTGGGCTTGGGCGGTGCCTTCTGCGCATGGCTTGCTTGCTTGGCATAGCTTGCTCGCTTGCTGGGCATGGCTTGTTTGCTAAGCCTAGCCCCGTCTCTCTTGCTGAGCTTCAGTGGCGTAGGCTGCCTGCTGAGCCTGAGAGCAGGGGCGGCCTGCTTGCAAGGCTTGGCTCGCCTGCTCAGCGTAGCTCGCATGCTCAGCGTAGCTGGCTTGCTGGGCGTAGCTTGCTTGCTAAGCGTGGCGGGCTTGCGGGGCATAGCGTGCTCGCTGAGCATCGCGCGCCTGATCGGCGTGGGCTGCTCACTTAACATAGCCCGCGCGCTAATGGCTATAGCTCTCTTGCTATACGCTCAGCCTGCGCGCCGGCTGAGCTTAGTCGGTCCGCTTGCTGGGCGCGTCTTGCTTGCTTGGCGCAGCTTGTTTTCTCGGCGTAGCCTACTTGCTAAGCGTGGCCAGCTGGCGTTGCTAAGCGTCACACGATAAGAGTCAGCTCGGCCGCGCCTTCTTTTGCTTGCTGGGCATGGGCTGCAAGTAGTTAGGCATGTGCCCGGCTTGCTAAGCGTGTGGGGCTCCACTTGCTTGCGCCTGCTAGGCGTAGCTTTTTAAGCTAAGGCGCTCGCTTTCAGCGAGTGCATATGTAGGACGCGCCCACGTGTAGCACGTAAGTGCGTCAGTTCACTTGTGCCACCTGGATAAGAGATCTGCTCCAGCTCAAAGGGTAAGGCCTTCCAAACGGGTCAGGCGTAGGCCGCAACCGCATAAAGCTGGGCCATTTAGGTGGGGGATCTGAGTCAGCTCAAAGGGTAAAGCCTTCCAAGCTGGGCAGGCCAAAAATGGGCAGCAGTTTCATGAACTTGCGCCATTTGGATCATCGGCCACCGGAAGGCTGAGCTAGCTCCCCAAAGTGTAAGACCTTCCAAACGGTTCGAAAGTGAACAGCAGCCGCATCAAGTTGCGCCATTTGGGTAGGAGACTTGAGCCAGCTCAAACAGAGGGCAGAGCCCTGCAAGCTAGCAGGTCAAGAGAAGACAGCAGCCATTTGAATAGGTGACCTGAGTCAGCTCAAAGGGTAAGACCTTTCAAGCGGGTCAAGTGTGGACAGGGTACGGAGAGACCCAAGGCACCCCAAGGGGCTCGCTGGGCCATCTGAGTGGGCCAAAGGTAGCCCGCAACTTTCCAAAGAAGCACCAGGTTTTTGGGTAGGAGATCTGCGCCAGCTCAAAGGGCAACACCTTCTAAACAGGTCAAAAGTAAACGGCGACCCCATAAAGCTGCGCAATTTGAATAGGGGAACTGAGTCAGTGCAAAGGGCAGGGCCTCGCAAGCAGCTCAAAACTAGGCAGCGACCCGCCTAGCGCTGGCTTGTTTGGATCGGTGACCTGAGTCAGGTCAGCCCCAAGGGCAAGGCCTCCCAGGCTCGCTGCTCAAAATTAGGCAGCAACTTCGCAAAGCAAAGCGGTGCCAGGTGTTTGAGTCGGAGACATGAACCGCCTCAAAGGGCAAGCGTAAGGCCATCCAAGCGGGCCAAAAGTGGGCAGCAATCTCATGAAAAAAGGGGCGCCATTTGGATGGGGGACCTGGGTCAGCTCCTCCAAAGGTCGGACCTTCCAAGCGGGTCAAAAGTCGCCGGCATTCTCATAAAGTTGCGCCCGCCGTTTGGGTAGGGGACCTGAGTCAGCTCAAATGGGTAGAACATTCCAAGGGTAGAACCTTCCAAGCAGCTCAAAAAGAGCAGGCAGCAGCCTCCTAGGGTGGCGCGATTTGGGTAGGGGTTTGGAGCTGGTTCAAAGGGCCAGGCCTTCCAGCTTGGGCAGCTAACAAACTGATACCAGTGCAGAGGTGAAGGCGTAGCGCTTTGCCAGTGCTTCTGCTCTTTCTTCATGTAATTCGTAGCACGACGGTAGGCTGTACGTCTGTGATATAGCTCGTAGAGATTGTAAGGCCTTGCGCCCTTGCCCCGGCGTGTGTACACGCCGG